TTCTGCATTGCAGTAAGAGTTAGATAAGGAGGGTGGGAGAGTGTATGGCAGTGAGCAGAAGAAACTTGCAAATGGAGTGAGTTGGTAAGCTCAGACAAGAAATAGTTTGCTTTACTAAATAATGACCCATAGCTCTTTGCCATCCCCCCGAGAATCAGGAAATGCCTTATTGAGCTGAAGTAAAAAAGCCAAGCACTTCCCTGTGTCTGGGAGAATAGGGTTTCTCCCATTTTGCCAACTGAGAACTGAGGCACATAAAAGAAAAGCGATGTACATCACAGTGACATTGAGATCCCTTTCTACAGCCAGGGATAAAACCACCCCCTCTTTTAGGGTGTGTACACACCTACTAACTTTCTGACAGTTAAGCCAACTTAACTTTTTAAAGTCCACTTAACTGTCAGAATGTACACACGTATATGGAGCAGAGTCAATACACCTCTGGGGTGTATTATCTTGAGTCACATTAGTTAGCTCACAGCTTATGGCTGCTGCTCTGCCAAGGAGCTGTACATGTGTACATTCTGATGTGGCTTAAGTCAATTTAGTTTAATTGACTTAGTTAAGGCACCTTATTTTACATCGACTTTGTAGGTGTGTATGCACCCCTAGTCCCTAGATTGAGCTACCTCCTAAACCATGCAAAGAGAGGAATAGGGTTTAGCTCCTGACAAGACTGGAGCTGTTGCCCCTCCTGCCTTCTGTCTCTGTCCACTAGCTCAGCAATTCCAGCTGTCAGATGGCAGGATGCATGCTGCCATCACAACAGGAAACTCCCCCCTTCCCCTCCTCCCCCTCCCTCTAGCTACACTAACTTTGAGCAGCTTGCTGCCCAGTGAGGAGCGGAAGTCTGTGAGGATAGCAGAGATCCAGGGCTGATTGTCAGAGGCAGAAGCCAGAAATAAAAAGCAGACAGAGCTGTGGTAGATTTTGTAAACTTCAGTTGCTGCAGAATTCTTTTTTTTTTTTTTTAAATAAATTTTTAAAGAAATATAGAAAGCAGAATGCTCCCAAGGGACCTGAGTCACCCATAGTGATATGCCTGCCTCTGCAACATGTTCAATCAATGAGTTATCTCACAATGGCAATATGCACTTGACTGTTCAAGTCCTGAAAATCCATGAATACATCTACTTTTGACAGGTGAACTGAGTATGTGACCCCGCAAGTGGGGTGGGGATGAAAGGAAAGGGTTGCCTGATCTGAGAGACCAGAAGTTGCTTGTGTGTGTAGTAAATGATGCAGATATTGTAACGGGTTTGGGTGGCCAACGAGCCTTTGTATGGGCGCGCAGGTGCAGTTTTTGTAACAGGTTAAGGTTCTCTTTGTGGAGTGATACTCAGAGTGTAGATATATATAAGCATATATATATATCCATATATCCATATATATATATATATATGGACATATATTTTTACCAAAAAAAGAAAAAAAAAAAGAAAAACATCTACTTTTGTAACACACTATCATCTTACTGTTAAGTCACAAAAAAGCAGCCCCTGCAGGACCCACCCACCTTTGACATCAACTAGTTTTCAGGGATGCAAGCAGGCTGGAATAGAATCAGTTTGCCTACGGCTATTTATGTCTGTGCATACACCCATGGTTACATGACTGCTGGGATACAAGGTATAGCTGGGGCAGAGGCATACTGCAGGGCACTGTCAGAAACAGAGCATGGTCAAGATTCATAACTCAGGAAGGCAATGACTGAACAGAAGGAAAGATGGCTCCTAATCTGAAAGGTGCCGCCCTGCCCAGCCTTCTTCCCGATTTAAGACTAACACAAATAACCACTTCCCAGTGTGGATGGAGAGAATGTGGCATGAAGCAGATGATTCCAGCCCCCACGCAGCACTGCAGCATCATAGACAGATGCAGTCAAACACCAATCTGACCCTAAATGAAGTGTTTTGCTTCAATTACATTTCAAAGATTTAAAAAATTCTCATAGCAAAATGTAATTGTATAGACACAGTGCTTGATCCAGAGAGCATTTGGACAAAAAATTGGTGGCCAGCTTCAGTCCCTGACGCCTGACCTGTATTGAGAAATGCTGATGTTTTAGGAGCTCACCTTTGCTATTAGAGTGCTCATACTGCTTCTCTGTAACTCATTGCAGTCCCCACCCTTCCTCCTCTTCCTCCCTTTGCATTCCCCGCTTACCATCACCACCAGTTCCTGTTTTTCCTCCACTCTCATCATACAACCCGACTGTGTCAAAGCACTGGGCTGAAAGCACAGGCTAAAGCCAATTACAGAGTGCCTTTCCTTTACCCTGCTTAATTGCTATGACCCAATCCTGACCAAAGCCTTTCTTCCTGTCCCATTCATGCACTCACCAAAGCTCTGATGATTCCCCTCAGTCCTGACGTGAGGCTCTCTGCTATCCCAGCTGCAGGCTCGCCCTCCACAGGTGCACGACATTCTCCCGGGGCCCTTCAGTCCCAACCTGAGATTCCAGTTTTGGTATCCCCCATGCATAGCTCTGCCGACATCTTTCAGTCCCAGTGAAATTAATAGAGAAGGGGTATATACTTAATATATACTTTCTAAATTAAGTATATCCTTAATTTATCTGACATCCACTATACTATTTATATATATTATTTATTTATATTATTTATTATTATATACTTTAATAATAGAGGGTCTATATACCCCTTCTCCCAGTGAATTAAGGACTGTTTGATTGAAGGTCAGGTTTATTATAGTAAGAAGGAAGGGGTTACACTGGGATGAGGGAGAAGTGGGATTTCAACTCCAAAAATTAAATTCTACTCTCCCTAAAGAACATCCCGCAGAAGCCCAAACCCAGAGATGCAATAACAGGAGTTGAAGAGGAGCAGACCTGCTTTTTAAATTCAACCCAATTCAATTTGGTGTAATGCAATTAAAGAACAGGATGCATGGAGCGTGCTACTATTTGTTAGGGCTGTGTGAGGCTTTGGACCGTGCTTCGGATCCGGAAAAGATTCAGACACTTTGGACACCAAAACAGCATGTCTGGATTGAAGCGCTGGCTTCTTTAGGCTTTCCGAAGCAGTTTGGAGCTTCCAAACCACTTCAGAAAAGCTTCGGTGCTGCTTCAGAGATCTGGCCATAGGGTATAATGGGGAATCAATTAAATATCTATACCTTTGTTGCTTTTTGTCTGATTTGGATGAAACTTGCAGGGGTGGTAACCTCTGCTGAGAGCATGAAGCCTGTCAAGTTTCAAGAAGATTAGCGCAGGGGTTTGGGGGGAACTGCACCCCAAATTCTTGAAAGCAAAACTCATGTCACGTGTATGTGTTACACCACAGGAGGGGTGAAAACTGCAGGGGTGGTAGCCACGCTGAGGTCACAAAGTCTGCCAAGTTTCAAGGAGATAGGTACAAGCGTTTGGGGGAAGCTGCACCTCAAGCTGTTGGCAGACAAAACTCGTGACATGGGTGACACTGCGTGTGTTACGGCGCAGCCAGCTGAAAACTGCAGGCCTGCTAGCCCCTGCTGCGGTCACGAAGCCTGCCAGCTGTGGAGGAGATCGGTGCAGGGCTTCTGGGTTCTGGGGCCTTGCACCTCTAGCTGCTGACAGGCAAAACACATGACATGGGTGGTTGTGCAACTAACTGTCTCCGTCTTGGGGCAGTTGACTGTCTGTATTGATTCCTTCCTCTCCTTAGTCTCGGGTTTTGTAGGTGTTAATCCTTGCTAATTAACTCATTATCTAGTAGGTACTAGTTCTCCCCAAACCCCTGCACCAATCTTCTTGAAACTTGGCAGGCTTTGTGGCCTCAGCAGGGGCCACCACCCCTGCAGTTTTCACCCCCTGTGATGTAACACACACATGTGACATGAGTTTTGCTTTCAAGAATTAGGGGTGCAATTCCCCCCAAACCTCTATACCGATCTTCTTGAAACTTGGCAGGCTTTATGCTCTCAGCAGAGGCTACCACCTCTGCAAGTTTCATCCAAATCAGACAAAAATCAACAAAGTTATAGATATTTCATTGATTCCCCATTATACCCTATAGCTAGATCGCCAAAGTGACTCCAAAGCTTCAGAGCCACTTTGGCCAAATTGAAGCAGGAAACCAGTCTGGAGCTCCGGATTGGATCCCTGGCACCCAAAGCGGCTGGATCCAAAGCTGAATCGAATAGCTGCCTATTCGCACAGGCCTACTACTTGTGCTGAGCTAACACCATGGGTGCAGCCTGTCCCTTTCAGGCATAATTCATGACATTTCCAATCCTAGATGTACCAGCCCCTAAGTCCCACCATTTAGTGGTTCCCTATCACCTTTAGAGTGAGATAGGGAACATGGAGCAAGGACTCGAGCAAGAAGTCGTCTTTTCCATTGGACACCAGGGTGCTGAAACAAGCCCTGAGACCTTCCAAGGTTTTGAGGAGGTCCTGGTCAAGAACCTGAAAGCTTGCAAATAAAGAAATTCCTTTACAACTATCTAACTATCTAATCTAATCAAGTATCTAATAAGAATATCACCTCTACCACAAGAGTTCTGACTGCTATTGCCTTTAGACTAACACGGCTACAACCAATATCCCTGGTAAAGAACCAGCATTCAGACAAGTTTCAGAAAGACCTCTTGGTGTGATTAAGTTAGATTTCTAGCCATAAAAGCTACTATCCTCTCTCTCACTAGATCAGGTACTGTATGGGCAATAGCAGATCCAGTTCATCCCATACATCACTTCTCCATTATACTCATCCGATGGCCAGGAAGAATCATCACCAGGGGGCAGAGGGAAAGTCTGTGTTCATGACCTATTCAATCCCAGGTCTCTGCTGATGTTGGCAATGAAAGAACAATTATGACCATGGTCTCCCTTGCAGGGTCTCGACTGTTTGGGGAGTCTGGCTGTCAGTATGCTTTGTAGCTGCCTGGGCAAATGGTAGCTCCCTGGTTTTGCCCAACCTCCCTCTGGCTGTCACACCTTGGCAGGCCTGATTTCATTATCATCTTGAGGCTCAACATGCCACGCTCTTGTTTTGCAGGATAGACAGAGGACATAAGGCCATGCCTGGTAGGAGTGAGAAGCTGCCATCCACTCACCCAGCTGTGCAGGAAGCGTTGCAACAGACAGAACAGTCCCCTGCTACAACCTTGGCGCATTCATGGAGAACACTGGTCTGTGATCACCATTTGCTTGTGGGGGTGGGCAGACACTACCGGGGGGGGACATTGCTTATGCCTGCCATGCAACTCTGTAGCCTTCATCATAGCAAGAGGCTTACTGAGATATAACTTCCCTAAATTATTAGGATGGATGCAGACCTTGCTACACCAGTATTTGGGAGGGGCTGAGCAGGTAGCTCATCTGCCTGTTTCTCAAGAAGGCATAGGGAGGAAGGCTGTTTGTATGGCTGGGCCTGGTAGTCCAGCAATCCATTTTTATTTTCAACACAACCATCTCTCATCAGCTTTTTTGTGCCTTAGTTTTCCCGTCTCCAAAACAAGGGTGTTATTTGCTGACCTAACGAAGGACGGTTAATATAACTCTGCACAGAGAGGTAGCACAACTTGGATGCATGAAAATTAGGATTGAATTGTGCAGGGTGCTGTAGAGACAGTGTCAGAGCTCTCCTTCCCTGAAAAGCTTACAGACAAAACAAACCATTTTACAAATGGGAAATTGAGGCACAAAAAATTAAGTAACTTGCCAAAAGCCATACAGTAAACTTGCTCCAGAGGATGAACAAAACCCCTATCACCTCGAGCCGGTACAGTAGTTTCCCAGAAATTTTAATTTGGGCACAAAACCAAGCATGGGAAATTTCATTCACAGAAGAAAAAAGTTAGCAAAATGATAAGTAACTGGAAAAGGCCTTCTCAAATGCTATACACAATACCTGTAATTAAATAAGAACCCTATATAGTACAATTAGCATTTGGCTATTTGCTTTAAGGGTACATAGAGTGCTGTAACTGGACAAAGAAAAGAATAGTAGAAGATACTATATAGAACTATATAGAACCTGCTGGCTTATTTTTGGGTTTCTTTCTCTATCTTTATGATTAACCAGAAGACAAGCACAGCACTGCAGGTCATTCTAGTAGCTTTGGCAACTCTTCCATGTTCTTCATTGGAGATGTTCTTAATACAACTTGGTGAAACTTGAAATTTCCATTTTGTAGGAAATTTTGAAAATCAATAATGAAGCAAAACCCCCCCAATATTTTTATCATTTCATGTGTAATTGAAACTCAGAAAAAATTATTTTGGAAATTTTAAATGTTGGAATTTTGAAAATTGACTTTTTATTCCAAATGTTACTTTATGGGTGTTTCCAAGTTATATTTTATTATTTTATGTTATTTCAAAGGAACTCAGCAATAACAATTAGTATGTCATATTATAACCTAGTATAAAAATTAACCACTATTTTTTATTTGTAAAATAATAAAGGACGGCTCCTACATCATGCTGTTTGACACATTTTATCTTCTTTTCTAAGTCAAAATCTTTCTTGTTTGTATTGTAATAGAATAGGTTAACACTTTGATCCACACATGGAAATAATTTATTAAAATGCAAACAGAACACATTTTGATTTAGAAATAATTTTGAAGTAACATCTGACTTCAACAATTTAAAAAGATAAATGAAAACCAGCAGAATAGTTCAGCTATTGCATTATGTCCTAGTATGACATGGAACTACAGCTGAATATGCACAGCATGCCACCAAATGTGAAAAATAAGGGGTATATAATGAAAAGAATATTCAGAATGAAAAATGTCCACAATTCAAAATGTTCAAAAAAGAAAAATATTTAATTCCAAAATATATCAGAATAATAATATAATATAATAATAATAATACAGTAATATAATTTTTCCATAGTAATTTTGATCAAGATTCCATGAAAAAAATCTTGTTTTAATGAAAGCTTTTCCTGATGCTGAACTCTTTGGGTGTGGTTGGATAGACTGATACTATTACCTTGGATGGATTATAGGGTTGTTGTTGGAGCATGTAAATTTAGAGAGTTTTGCTTCCTTCATCTTCTTTACGAAGTGAAGGTGTTTGTGAAAGGCTTCATGGCTGTATGCAAGAGATCTCCTCTTAGTAAATGGCTGTTATGTCTGAGTTGTTCTGGATGCTGCCAGTTTGTTCTACAAGTCTGGTATCGATCTGTTCCTGGATGGCGCAGGGCCATTTATGTCCCCTGCCTGCAGTGTTTCCTCTATGAACCTTTGCAAGTCCATTTCTCTGGGAAAGGTTTCCACTGCTGTGTCGGTCTGTACCTGAGGCTTACCCTCTGCTGACTGAAGTGAACTCAAGAAGAGACTCAGTCCAAAACCCTATATACATACCTAAAGGGCTGCCTTAATACTTGAAGTTTTCCTCCTTCCTTCAGTGGGAAATATAGTAAGCTGTTTGGGGCAGAGATTGCTTTTTGTGCTGTTTTTGTATGGTGGGATCCTGGTCCATTGCAAGTTGCCACAATTCAGACAGAATCTAGACCTGATTCTCATTTACACTAAGCCCCTTCAGTGTTGACAGAGTATGTAGGAACCCAGCCCATTATTATTGGCCATATTTTAGAGGTAAAAGTGCAAATATTTCAAGTAGAACTTTTGGGCAAACTATTTTTTCCTTACTTCCATACATCCCAGGAACAACTAAACTGATTTTATCCAAATCCCTACTCCCTCTAATTCATCTATGATCTAAGACCCAGCAATCAAAAAAAAAAAAAGCAACCAACTAAACAGACTAACAAATATGTAGAGAAAGTTGGATAAATCATTTCTGATTCACTCTCAATAAAGTATTCTTAAATCAAAATTGGTATCTTCACAGGTTTTACTAAACTGGTATGACTGTGTGTCGAAAAGTCTTAAGATATGTGTTCCTCAGTGTATTGTCCCCCATTCTACATGGTAAAGTATAAACTCATTCATATGGAAGTGCTGCTTTGGCATTTACTAACTCACCAGTTTCTTACCAGGTATGAACCTTCTAACTGAGGTCAAGAAACCATAACATTTTTCTTTTTTACCATCTTAATCCAGTTCTTACAGACCTCCTGCCCCATTTACAATTCCACTAAGCTGTCCTGGACTCCCATTCACCATTCCATAAAAACTATAAAGCACCTTTTGCTTTCCAAACCAGAACGACCCTCACCATCACCTTCCAGGTTTGATTCTGAGATCATAATACCCACCTATCACTATAAACTGTTTTCAGACTGACAACATCCAGACTGCACGCTCTGGCCTTCAATCTTCAGAGAAGCTAATTTTCTTAGGCAGGCTATAAATCCAAAGGAGTCCTAGGCCAGTGATTAATTTTGGCATCTTTGAAGCATCAGGAAGTAGGGTCTGTGATACAGGAGTTCTGCAGGAAGGAATTCAAATGCAGCTGAACACAGGAGAAAAATAGTTAAATTAATACTAAAGGCAATCTAAAGGAATGGTAAATTTTGGACTGGGTTGTGTGCTTGCGTGTGTATTCATACGTGTGTGTGTAATTCTGAATAAAGTGGGAAAGTTACCTGCTCTCAGCTAGTTAACAGTCCATGGCCAGATGTTTGTTTCCAATTCTAAGAATTCCTGTAAAATTCTTAGCACTGGAAACATTGGTTTGGAGTTGGAGTGTGCCTGCATTTATAGCCTGCTTAGGAAACAGGTACTCTGGAAGTCAAACCAGTATGTACGTGGTGGATGTTGTCAGGCCAGAGATCGAATATCATGATTACAGAACCACATCACTCACAGAAATAATGGTGATGGCAAAGTTATTTCTGGTTTGTAGAGCAGAAGGTGTTTTGTGTTATATATGGAATGGTTAATAGGAGGCAAGAAGGGATTTCATGGAAGAAAAGTAGATTTTGCTTGCATGTGAATGGAGTTGGATAAGTTTGTGACCATACGTGGAGGATAAACAATGAAAATACTATGGGTTCTTAACCTCAGTCATGAGGTAGGAGGATTCATAAATGGAAGAAAACAAACAAGAAACTTAACGTAGCTGGGTCTTCAAATGACTAGTAAGTGGGTGGGGGAGTTTTTACGTCATTAATTAGCATACGGGGCAGTATGGTAAGGAACAAGGGTCTTACATTTGAAATGCAGTAGCTAGAAGGATGTCTCTTGGTATAGGTATAAGGAACAGGGTTGGGAAGAAGGAGATAAAGTTGTTGAACTTTAAGTTTTCTGAATTTCAGATACCGAGGTTGTTAATGATAACAATCTAAACTAATGCTCTCTCTGTTCCTAGAATGAGTGTATACACTGTTAAATGTCTCAGCATCAGTGTTGATTTCTTTGGCAGTATCTTTATTCCCTATTCTACACACAAATTTTGACTAGTTCTCAAGATGATACTTCATATTATGGACCAAATCTTTACCTGCTGTAAATTGTCATCACTCCATTATAATACTAGAGTTTGAAGAACCTTCTATTGTTCGATAGACTATCTGCTACTGAATCACTTCTTCCTAACGACTCTCAAACAGTCATCTGCAGAATTTGTGTTGCCTCCATTTCCATACTTTCCCTGTGCTAAATCAGGGAATTCACTATCAAGCATTTAGCAGCATAGCTAAATTATATCTTTAGCATTTAGCAACCCAGTTCTAAATATTTTGGCCTTAATCTACAGAGATCCATACAAGTGTTCTCCCATTCTGATGTGACCTTTTTAACATTGGAAAACGTTTGATCTATCCTAAATAAAAGTGATAAAAGTATAAGTGCTTTGCCTATATGCAGTGAATACATCTCTCCTGAACCCCAGGCTGTATAACTGGTGAAACAACAGCAGAGCTGCTTTGGTGGCTCACATCATTTTCCTCCTCTCTACATTAGAGGCTGAGTCAGACATTCTCCGCAGCGTGCATGCCCTGCTTCGAGAACTCGATGGACACCACCCTGCCTTCCAGAATGAGCGAGGTAAGATAGGCGCTCTTTCTGTACAGCTACCAGCTATCTAGTGCTGTTTTTTATGTCTTAGAATATCTTAGAGTCAGCTGTTTTTGGTTTTATTTGGTCCCACTGGCCCCATAACATCCAGGTGTTCTGTTCTACTCTGACCAAACTGGGGTAGATGATTTGGAAAGCTCTTATCTCCTCAATACATTGATCGTGCATTGCTGGACTTGTTCCCAGAAAGACCAAAAGTTTTGACCAACTCCTGATTCTGAACAAGACTTTTCCCCACAGAAATTCAAAATCTAATTTCTCTTCTTTCCAGTCTCCAAAATTCTGATTGCTCTGTAACCAGAAAGATATAATGATTAGATCAGGAGACTGAGTAACAGAGTTCAGAGCTTCGTTCCCAGCTCTGCCACTGATTTACTGTATGATATTCAATAACTCACGTTTCTCTGACTCAGTTTCCCTATTAGTTTACCTCCAAATGGGTTAATGTTCTTCTTGATTAAGTGTTTTGGGCTCCCCAAATAAATAAGGTAATTTTAAGTGCCTTGTATCATTGGTCTGCAGGGTGAAACCTTGGGCTGTCAATCAAATAACTGCACTCTAGAGTCCTGGGAAACTTAATTCATGAAAAGATGGATTTTACTTGGAACTTTCAGAATACTTTACAGTTAATTGAAATTAGATTTTATCTTGCCCAATTCTTAATGTTTGAAAAACTAATATGCATGGATTTTATACCCTTTGTTCCTGTTGGACATCAGTAGCTAACTTTTCAAGTGCTGCATTCTAGGAACAGCAGCAACATCTGCCTGCCCCAGACAGGCAAGCAAATCTCTATGGAAGTGCAATAATAATCCTCAGCCCTTTTATAGAACTTTTATCACAGGATCTCAAAGGCCTTTCTTCACACGTCACCACTGCCTTTGGAGGGGGAGGAGGAGAGGAACATTATCTTCCTTTTTTAACAGAAGGCTAAAAAGAGCTTGAAGTCTGGGGATCTTGTTCATGGTTATGGAGTGAGCGAGAAGCAGAATCAGGCATCCTGGTTTGTGGGACACTGAATTATTCACCAGGCCATGGGCCAAATTGTGATGTGAGAATTGAGCGCAAGTAAGAACTGAAGTCATCAGAGTTGCTCCAGATTTAAGCTAATGTGAGAGAGAGCAGACCCTAGCCCTCATATGCCACAGCTAATAATTCCCAGCTTCTTACAGTATACCCTCCACAGGCAATTTGCAAAATGTACCCTAGGAGTTTCATTTAGGGCATACCTACATTGTAGTCAGAAGTGTGCAGTAAGACTTGGCATGCTAACACTAGCCTTGACTTCACTAGCATGGACAACAGCAGTGGACATGTAGACTCATGGGCAGAACAAGCTCACAAGAGAGCCTGAAGTTGCTAGCCCACCTGAAATCTGTGCCACATCTTCAGTGCTATTGCTACCTGTGCTAGGTAGCACAGATTAAAATTTGTGCTCACCTGTGCTGAATCATACCTTTGATTTCAGTGAAGACATATTCTAAAAGTCACTCCAAACAATTAAGTGCAATTCTGTCACTAAATGGCCAACAGAACACATACATAAGGTGCACAAAGGATGTGGCTATACAACCTAACCACAGTCAGACATGGGGGTGCCTACACTTTGCGCTATCCAGTGTCTTATTGAAACATGCCACCCATAGTGTTCTTAGAACTGAACACATTTCCATTCCTTTTGTCTTTATAGCAGAAGCGCATGTGGCAGCCCAGCTGGTGTTCTGCTGGGATGGGGCCCTACACACTGCAGCCTGTTCTTTATAGAAAAGGCTGTGGTTGTTGCTGCTGCTGCTGCTGAACATTAAAAAACAAGGGCTGTCAGTGCACACTAAGTTATTCAACATCTTAGGCAGGGCCTGGTGGGCAGACTGTTTTTGAGATGTTCTTTCTTTAAGTCTTTCATTGCCAGCAAACCGACAACATCAGAGAGCAGTTTCAGTGCAGTGATTTTTATCCTGGAGACAGTGGTAAGCAGATCTAATTGACCAGCTAAAGAGAGTTACTGGTCCAGAAGAGATGAAGGTGCAAATTCCATGTTATGCAAAGTAATGCACCCATAATATCAAATGGGTCATTGTGAGTGGGGGGCATATTAGGACTGATCCCACTCCCCACTTCTGCTTTGGATCAAGTCACCAGGAGCATGGACTCAATGCAGGAAAGTAGCATACTCTTTCCTGGTTCTCTCTGGGTTGGCTTAGCATTCATTTAAAAACCAGGATTGAAGCAGTTGTACCAAGGGGAAGTTGTTGTCGCATGGGGCATGTCTGTTTGGCATTTGCCCTTCCCCTCCCATTCTCAGTGCTACTCTTAGGTTTTTCCAAGGCAGACCAACTAAGCTAAACTCTAAGGTGTGCACTCGAAGCCAGACCAAGCTACCTACTCCACTAATTACAGGTCTTTGTGCCCAGTAGGAGTGAGTGGGTGGGGCTTTGTCACTAGTGGACCCAAGGCCAGAAGGGAAGCCATATAAATATGCACACAGTTTTTATTTGTCTGCAGTGTTTTGCTGTCTCTTTTTAAGTCTCACAACATCTAGCATTTTCATCAAACCCCCAGCTCCTAGTAGCAAGAGACTTATATCTTCTTCTTTCACACCTCTCTGTACCCTGCCATTCCCTATTGTATTATAATTATTTTCTACCTTTCAAGCTTGTGGAGATATACTTAAAAATGTAACACAAGTGCAGCCAAAACATTTGGGAGTCAGCTGGCAAATACAAAAACCAAACATTTAGCACTGGTTTACAAATCATCAGGTTTTTAGAACCACCTTAATTTTTTAGGACCTGATTCATGATTCCCGAATGCTTGGGGTTTGACAGTCTTTCACTACTTTGAGGCCTTGCATTGTGAATAGTGCCCAAGCCTTCACATACATTCACACCAAGTGTTGCTAGAGAGAAGGCATTGGCTCAGAGATTGTTGCTCACATCTCTTCCATGGAAGATAGATAAATGTAATGAGTGTAGGGGAGAGTCTCCTGCTGGAGCCCTAAGCCCTATAACACCCCATCAGTGTGCTCAGGGCAGCATGACTTATCCATCATGGAAAATGCACCAATTGAAGTACAGGCTTTTCTGCATAGGGAAATATACTGGCTTACCTATGCTGCTGCCATATACCTAATCTGGACTTTCTAATTCTGGAAGAAGAACCCCGATCCCCATACTCCTAGTCTTTAATTTTGTTAGAATGTGCTCACTCCTTATCATCACTTCCTAGCCCCTTTTTCCTTTTTTTGGCTTCACAGGGATGTTGCGATGGACCTTGCATAAAAAAACTGACCGGAATCCTGGGAACAGCACCATCTTGGCTAAAATCCTTGTGAAGGAGCTGGAAAGGGTAAACATCATCTTAAGCGATGCCTTCCAATAGGTCCAGATACCTGTTTAGCTTGTGTCTTATGTATACATGTCTTGGTTTAAAATAGTTTTCACTGGCATAGTGGTTAGGCCAACTGCACCTGAAGTGGCTTTTACTGTTCTAGGCAGTGCTGTGGAGGAACAGCCTAGTGGTCTCTGAAGCTGTGGCCATGACTGCAGAGACATTATTGTAACCTCCAAGTACCACTATTACGGTCATCAGTCTGGTTCCCTCTGTACAAGCCAGTGGGTAGGCTCCCTAGAACAACGTAAATGTTAAAACTGCTCAGCAAATGGACCTTCTATCCCCTCTCTCAAGGAGAATTTTGATAAAACTGAAAAAAAAATAGCTTGAGAATTATACAGAACATTTTGGCAAGAACTAAAACAGAACAAAATAAACCCCCAGATATTTAAATTCAGAACTGCTGCAGTGCTTCATGGGAGTTGCAGTTCAGGTATCTCCTATTCCAGTTCCTTGTGGATGAGGCATCTTCTTTTCGATTGTGGTATACCACAATCCCTCCTCGTAGTAAAGTGAATCAGTTACATAAATGGAAGTCCTTGGCAAAGGTATATTATGGGAGATCCAGGCTGCATGGGGAACGTGGATCATAGAGAAGAACTGTATTCTGGGATTCCAGACTCCTACAAGGCACCATGGGCAGGATATGTGGAGTTTGAGGCATTTGGCTTTTGGATGGAAAATTGAAATTTTACATGGAATGCAGAGTAGACCATTTTCTGGGGGGGAAAAATCTGTTTTGTTGAAAATCCAACTTCTCATTGATAAATGGTTGGCACAGACAGTGCAGGCATCCACAAGTAAATAATGTCCCAGGGATGGGAGGAGGCAGGGGAACCCCTGAAGGGCAGGTAGGGAGCCCTGGGAGGCAGAAAGGAAGCCCAGAATGGGAATGGGGGAATCTTGCTTTTTGGTCCTTTAGGCCCCTGCTGCCTGTAGTGTGACTGCTCCAAATGCAAGCTATACAGTACTAACACCCACCAACATTTGTGCAGCTCACAGCATAAGGCTCAAATCCAGGAGCTTTTCATGGTAAAGCACAAGTCCCTGCTGTGAAAAAAAAAATCCTCCTTGTGTAGGCTTCATAGTTGCTGAGGTCAGCTACTAGAGCTTGCACATCAGTACTTGCACATTGCAAACTGTGTTCCCCCAGCCTTTCAAGATAGAAAAAGATCTCATAGGTCTATTCTGGAAAACTTTCTGTCCTTTGAAATCTGGCCAACACCAGGATTACCAACCCCCTAGTCAAGGATCAGAGGCACAAGGGATCTGCTGCATCATAGTGTTGGCCCTGTTCTTGATGCCTTGCAATAGCTGACACAGCACCTAGCAAGCCAGCAAATTCCAGCTCAGCGTGCATTCTGTTTCTGGTGTTCAGTTGCCAAAAATAGTTGTTTTCCAAACAACTATTTCAACTAAAAATACATTTTCATCAGCATTTCCTTTCAAGAAGAGCTAATTTCCTGCTCAGCTCTATTACAAATAATTTCATCCAAAGATATATTTGGATAAGATCACTAAGTTTTACTGTTCAGTTACAGGCAAATGGAATTCCATCCCTAGGCAATGCTAGACCTGTTAAATGAAGCCCCTTTAAGCCCTTAACGCAATATAATTAGTGCTGTAGCGCACTGTTAACTCTGGCTGTGCAGTGGATATGCACACATTCCAAGTCTGTGTTAATGTTCAGTTCCAGGCAGAAATGCTAAATGACACTGGGACGCATAATGAATGAATTCATAATGTAATGAATTATTTTTACTGACAATCTGAACACAGTTTTTTACTAACAGAGAAACTTTTTTTACTGATATGTGTTTTTACTGTCGGTAATAAAAAAAAAAACCTTGCGTGGGCATCCCTGTGTGATTGCAGAAGTAGTTTTATACCCTAATGCCCCCACCACAGGGGTCCCCTATTCAACCCATGCCTTGACATCCCTGAATACACTCTGTACCATGCTGCCCTTCCAGCCGGTTCCCCCAGCCTGATCTCCACCATTCCCACTCTCCTTGTCCCAGCACAGACCCCCACCCATTGCTTTTCTCCTCCTATTCTGGAACTCCATCCCATCTGCAGCACCCCTCTCCCTCTATTTGCAGTGTGAACAGCTGCTATAGGCAGAAGACAGGCATAGAAACACAGCAGCATCACATAGCTAGAGACAGGGCAGGGGTTTAGCAGGCCCTAATAAAGGGGTTCCGTATGTGCAGGGTGCTGTGCTCCCACTCAGATAGCAAGTGGCATTGCTATGCTCTGTATTTCAACCTGGCTCTGTATTTTTACAGAGGGGGAAAATGTTTTTATGGGTTTTTACAGATAGGAATGTTTAGGGTTTGGTTTTTTTTCCAGCGTGTCCATAAATTTATGAATAGACAACCTGGCAACTCCTTGAACTTAGCTCTCAGACCCAGCAGGCATCCCTCCATGGCCCTCTTAACAATTATCAGCAACTTACCAGCCAGTCCTATTCAGTTCTTGCTTATAATCAAGCTTTCCTTCCCAAGCAAAAATAGTTGATCTATGCTCCTTACTAGCCACCCCCAATCAATTGAACAATCTTCATTTTATCTCCTTCCCACAGGCCCATCACTCCCCCTAAGTGCGGGTAATTAATGGTACTCACCACGGTGTGTTAACCCTTTCCAGCCCATGTAGGATCTGTATATAGTATCATACAGTATTTAAACAATTAAGAATCTATGAAATATGCATAGCGATGGGAGCTCAGTGAATAAAAGACATGTGAAGCTCTGGGGTGTTCTGGGGTTTCTAGGGAGCTGAGAAAACAAATCTTATGGCCAGTAGCTTCGATCCAGACTCAAAAGGAAGGGCAGCCAAATGTCTTGTACCTTTGCCAACATCTCACCAGAGGCGTAAGAGTTTTAATTTGTTTGGCCTGAACAGACAGGACCCAACATTTCCATTTAAAAGCCGCCCACCGCACCTCACAAGAACAGGGAGTACTTGGTATTTCCGACTGCATTTCTCTGATTCAGCACTGCTCAGCTGCCTTTCCAGTCTGCTAATCACTGAACTGAAGAAGCTTTACTTAATTGTTGTCTTTGGTTTTGCAGGCAGAAAGAGGAGATTATAGACATTATATCATCCCCCTGCTCCATACGCTAATGTACACACTAATCAAGGTAAGATCTACAGATAATACCACAGAAGCCAGAGACATCCCAAGCTCTGGTCATGATACCACTATTAGTCTCATTCCTAAATAACATCCCTAAATAAGCATTCAGTCAGCCATGCTATACCCATTCTTTGTGCTGACATGCCTGCAACAGACTGCGCTCAGAAGCACTACAGCTGTGCTGTGCTGACAGATCAGTGTTTATGCAGGAACCTAGAATTTCCCATTTTTGTATGTTTGAAGTCTCAGCTTTAACTACACCGGATGTGATATATATAGAGTGAGAGAGGATTTGTAAAGTCACCTAGGGCCAATTTTTTAAAGGTAGTTAGATGCCTAAATATTCAAGTAGGTACTTAGCGAGGTTTTCAGAAATGTCTAGCTGCCTAAATGCTTTTAAAAATCTGCCCCGGTCCGTATCCCTGCACACGAGTATTTCTAGATCTCTGTAGAATCTCCATTATTTCTGTCTTAGGGTCTAGTTCACCCCACTGACTTCAGGGTGGCATCCATTTGAATCAAGGCAGAATGTGGTGATAGGTTTAAAGATAGTAACTACCAGAAGACTGGATGATGGCTGTAGGGGTGCTTAGGAGGCCATGCAGATGTGCTGGAGAGGCTCTGCCAGGGGCAGGGCGCCATAGACAGAAAGGAAAAGAGGGAGACTGGGACCAGCTGTAACTAAGGGGGTTAGAGCCTGAGCCCCAAGAAAAGGAAAGGCTGGGACCAAGAAGCTGGGCCAGAGCAAGTGGGCCCAGGCTAGAGGCCTACAGCCAGAGAAACCTGCAGGCTGAGGCCCACAGGGCTGAAGTCTGTACAGGGGAGTAAAGTACAACTGAGTGACACCTGCAAGGCATGGGCATGGCTATAGGGGAGGACAGAGACCACAACTAGAGCCCCTGAGGCTGGATTAGAGCCACTAGGGTCATGAGCTGAGACTGCTAAATTTGAGTCATGTCCACAGGGTGTGAGTAGTTCCTACTGGGATGTGAGCTACCTGCAGAAAATGGGCAAGGTCCTGCTAGCGGACAGAGGGCACAAAGGGCAGAGATGGAGTGAGTCTGCTAAGCACCAAGGACATCACTCCAGGACTCAGGGGCAGCCTCCCAATCAGCATAAAAGGAATATCAAGGCATGGCAGGAAAGATAAAAAAGAGGGTGTTATATGGAGAACCTGGAGTCGGGGCAGGACTAGGGTGGTTCACAGGGGGAGTCACAGCAGCCCTCAGGGCCTGTCCTGCCACAGTCTCCAATAGGATCTCATTAACCATTTCTTTCCAATGCCAGGCTCCGTGCTTTTCAGATGATCTCTATGAAAGAATATATGATTTCTGCAAGAAGCTATTAACCCTGCCCAAGCCCTACTGCACCATTGGCCTGGACTATGCTTTTCGGTTAAAAACAGAAAGGATGGCACCAGGTTAGTGTATTGCATGTTCTTTTCTGCGGAGCATATAGCTACGGAATATCGCTATTTTGTAATGATTACCTAAACAGAGGTATAGGTCCAGAGATGTGATAGGCATTCCCCATGTGCCACATAACTTTACCCTTCTGTAGGTATGCCTGCACAGGGAATGAGCGTACACCACGCTAGCTTTGCTGTTATCACTTGTGCTAAATGCTTAGCATCTGACAAAGTAGGCTGTTGCCTACAAAAGCTTATTCATTCCCGAACAAGTCAGTCTCTAAGGTGCCACCCTGCCTTGCCTTCTACCTGACTTCAGACTAACATGGCTAACTACCTCTCCTTAAATAAAGATATGATGGCATGTACTTAAGCACAGGTTTTACTAGCCCTCTGAGGACCCTGATTCATACACTGTTTGTTTACCCTTGCCGAAATGTCTGTTGCTATGTTTTAGGGTTGTTGGTTGTAGCTGTGTTGGTCTAAGGACATAGGCAGGGGAGGGTCTTTGGGGAGATGTAATATCTTTTACTAGACCAAGTAAATAGTTGGAAAAATTGCTCTTTGCAAGCTTTTGGACACAAACTCCCTTCTTTAGGCACAGGGAAAAAACTGTCACTATGTTGTCATTAGTATTGTTATCTAGGACAGGTAGATTAAAGCTAGGAGTATGCCTCCCTGTGTTACAATTGCATTTTGTTTGCTGTGTAGATATACCTTAGGAGCTCTGTTCTGGGGCAGAGACATTTCCTATTTTATTTCTCAAAGGTCTGTAGCGTGTTACAGGGGAGAGAAACACACTGTACTTTTTCTCATGGAAATTTCAAGCTGGACTTATGTGGGAGAATGGATACGAGTACTCTGACTGCATAGAAAGGAGAAGAATCATGCACAGAAACATCCCTCCATGTCTGTGAGGAGTCCTAGTGATAGGCCTGGACTATCTTATTCTAGGCTCAATACAAACCCAGAACAAAAAGATGGTCCCTGCCCAAAGAGCTTGCAGTCTAAACAGACTAGACCACTTTAAAATAAAAGTAATTTATTTCATGGGCAACTGTAGCGTGAAGAAAAATGGTTTCCCCAGCATCACTGGAGGGGTGAATGGTAAAACCAGAAACTGAACTGGACCTGCTTGGACTGATGAAACAATGTATTTTTAGTTTCCTCTATCTTAAGTTTTTAAAGTTCTTAGTATTTATAGGACTATTGCCATTTTGGCAGGGCACCACCCAGACCCTATGACATCCGAGAAGATAAAGATGTATTAGTTCCATATTAACAGAAGCACAGAGGTACACAGTGTCAGATGACAAGCTGAGGACAGAACACAAATCACATGAGTCCTGATCCAGAGCTCTCATCACAAGACCACACTTCCTTGGCACCATCTGAACAGAGCTAGGATCTTTGGTCAGGTTTTCCCCATATCTAGGAACCCTGTGCTGTCATTTGACATCCAAGCAATGTAGGTATAGAACAGTGGTATCCCAAGGTGGTAGATTTACACCCATTTTCCATTGGTGCAAATGGTGTTACAAGGTGTGGGTTAAGAGAGGATCAGCCCCAAAGGGTAGGGTATTAAACCCTGCCCCTGCTTCTTTGTACAATTTCACACCTTACCTTATACTCCATCAAAGAAAGGAGAAATACAGGAAATGTATAGAAAGGATTCTCCCTAAATAGAAGACATTTTCCATCAGGGCTTTCTTTAGATTGTACTATCTTTATCCTTGGTTGTGCTAAACTATATATCTGATCCTCATCTCTACACACTAGCTCCATTGACTTAGTAGAGTTACTCTTAAGCTATACTGGTATAAATGAAGAAGGATCAGGCCTCTTGTTTTCAAATGTTACTGCTTGTTCACTGATCACCTGCTTTATCTGTTTTGTTTTGTTTTTTTGCTAGGAGTGTTATACCAAAGAATGGTTATTTCTGAACAAAGTCTTAGAAGTGACCCATATCCTTATCAGGAGAAGTAAGTGTTGTCGGTTCTAGTGAGGCTTTTAATGACATTATAATATGGCAGGGAAAAAAACGATCACTCACTTCGTACTGAACATAGACGCAATGGCATTTTTCAGTGCTATCAAAAAGCTAACCACTGTCAGAACAGAACTTGAGCAAAATCTAATCCTGGCTACTGGTGTTGTGATTCAGAACACAATACATTTTGATGACACTTTATGGTTAGTTAAAATCAACTATGTGTCAGGAAGGAAGAGGCTTACTGAGTATTTTGGCTTCTTTTTGTGGCTCCAGGAGGCAGGTAGCTTTCCCGTGCTGGAAAGAAGGGGCATCTAGTCAAAGGAAATGCCTGTAATAACAATTTCTTAAGCAGAATGATGCAGATGCTGACTATTCCTTTCAATCTGAGAATGAGAGTAATGACTATAGGTCAGATACAGCCCTTAGATAGCATGATGATTTCACTAGGGCTGTACTCATTACATCAGCAGACAAACCCACCATACTAGAAAAAGGCAATCATCTGCCTGGTTTAGATTCTAGTTCCAAACAGAGGCCCCTGCTGGCCTCCTCAGAGAGATTTAATTTCTCAGCTGTGCAGTACTCTACCACAGGGTGAATTTCTATCTGATTGGCACATCGAGTGTTAGAGCATGACAATGGCAGTGGTCACTCTGCATTTTTTTAGATGATCAGTGGTATGGCATCAGATGACCTGCCCTCCCAATCCCCAGTGACCCCTGTCTTGCTGCATACTCTATTTCAGTAATCAGTCTTGTATTTTATGTAACTTTTTTCCAACATTCATTTCTGCAGGGTTTTCATATTTGCAGATCCAGATCTGCTTTCCAAGGCTGTATGCAATGCACTAGTCACTGATACCAAGGCTGCTCAGATGTATCAAAGTCCCAGATCATGTATGTGCTATGTGATAATGCATGCCATGAAGGTGGCTCTGGACGACGACTGTGATATTTACAATTTGCAGAGGATCCTTCAGGTAATTGGTTAACAGCACTTTGCAACACTGTCAGCTTTTGGGTACAAGGGGACAGAATCTCAAAAGAGATCTGCTTTCATTTAGGTAACTCAGTGAAGTGACTAGGCATCCTACTGTGGTCCATACCAGTAAATCCATATTTTGCTTCCCTTCCACATACTGAACAGCATTTTACTGTGCAGTGACTTCTAATGTAATCAAATTATTTCATATCGATAGAGGAATATAAGTGTGGATTTGGATAGGTGTACTTCCACCATACACTTGGAAGTCAGACAATGTGGTCAAAAACTTTTTTTTGCATAATTAAAAAAAAATCAACACAGAACCCTAACCAAAAGGGAAAAAAAGTTTGATTTTAAAAGAATTGTTTTAGGCAAAATATTGAGATTTCATGAACAATTAGCTGAAATTGGTATTTTTCCATTAAAAGATTTTTAATGGCAATATATCTTTTGTTGAAAGCAGGTTTCACTGGCAGAATTTAAGCTGTCACTCAAAGCTCTCCCTTTCTAAGGAGGCCTTTTAAAGGAGCACTGGGCTTACCCAGATTAGGTACTTTGGGCACCTATACACGTGATGGACCTCTGCTCTGACTCATGCTAATTAGCATGTGTCAGAGCAGACTCAATTAATCGTGCTAATTAGCATGCTCCAGCAGGCTCTGCATCACATGTATTCCATGTCTCCACATTTCAAAATGGCAGCAGGGGCACTTTAAAACTCATCAAACGAGCCTTAGTTAAAGCGCCCCCACCACCATTTTGAAGGACAGGATGCTGAATACACGATGCTGCAGGTGCTTTAGTAGGATTGGCTCCCAGCACCGCTTTAATTAAAGTGCCCCCACCCACCCCCAGAGCACATGTATAGACACCTATAGGGGCCCTGCATGCATACTTGATGGGGCCTCAGAGGAAGTCTAGGGCACCCTGATTGGCCTAACTTTGGCAGGCATGCCACAAATTCAGCCCTGCACCCTCCCTGCATGCCACTCTGATTCCCTTCACCTGGCTGATCTGCTCTGCTTTCTTCTCCTTAGCCTGTGTCACCTACCAAAGCTTCTGATCTACTTTCCTCTCCCTGCCCCATTTGCCACTGTACTGCCTGTCCACTCCCTAATCTGCTGCATGGCATACACAAGTGGCACTCATGCTGCAGGTTGGCCACCCTTAGCCTAAATGATCCATATCCCATCATACTTCTCTGGGAGAAGTCCAAGGAACCTGGTCCATGGTCTACTCACTGTGCTCATTAGTCATTACAAAGCCCACCATGGGGCCTGGTCCTTGCCTCATTTCCCTGAATGGGGAATGCTCATCTGGCTGTGAGCAGGACCAAAATAGTCAGCACCTCTGCTTTTGCACTTGATGCCCCCTGCAGCATTGGGGCTTGCTTTCCACCAGACCCAGTGCTGATGTTAGGCTGTATTGTGCCAGAGCTTAATGCAATTTTAAAGTCTCAGTTATTTTGTAAGCTAAAGGTGTTGTCACACATTCAGCTTAACACTTACTAAGTGCAGTTAAAATGCAAACAGGTGCATGTTCAAGCAATTTTGTATGTGTTAAGTGCCCTCGTGACATTGCAAAGTTGTTCCCTTTCAGGCCAGAGCTATCTCCTAACATGTACTAACTTTAATACATCACAACATTCCAGCAATTTGCAACTATTACAACTGAACATGTGGCAGGGCTCTGGGAAAAAACAGAGCTGTGTTCCAGTTGTAGAAAGCAGAGTGGGTCATTTTGTTTCTTCTACCCACCCCTAGCTTAGCCCACACAGTAGATCTTGTATTCACACCTCTGGTTATTAATAGCCCCTCTCTGCAACAGGATAAGCCCACAGAGGAGATCGAACACTTTTTCCGACAAGTGGTGACAGCAGTTGAGTGTACAGGAAATGAAATAAGTGCAGACCGCAGCCAGCATGTTGAGAGGCTGAAGAAAGTCTATGATGTAGTGCTGAGTTCTTCTGAAGCAGGTAAATATAACATCTGATGCAAAAGAGCCAAAGGGCTGAGAAGTCATATGGGGACACAAGTCTGATGAACAGGAGCAGCTACTCAGTTCAGAGCAATCTGAGAAGTCTATGGAGCTGGGTAACTTTTTCTGGATCCTGGTGACATGTCTTCATCATATCTTTAGTGAATGAGATGTAAAGGCCTTATCTCAACCCCAAAATCACACTACTTTAACCACACTATACAGTAAAAGCAGTACAACCTCCCAAGTCTCTCTAGGTTGGATAATGACATACCAGTAAGAAGTAGACCTTGTCCTGTATGGGAAGGTGTGTAAACTATGCTAGTATATTGATAGAAAACATATACTGGTATAAATGCCTACATAGTGAGAGGTTGTAGGAGTGTAATTATTTTGGTATAAGATTATATCACTAACAAAATTAGCTATATCAATACAAAATTTGGGAACAGACCGGGCCTACTTAATTCAGGGAGACTTCTGGGAGCAGGTTATGTGGGGAGACAAAATCCAACGTCTTACTAAAGAAAGACAGTTGCCTGGGCTTCAGGGTGGGGGCGAGGGGACAGTTCTGTGGAATCAAAATAATGTCCCTGTTCCAGCGTTCTTAAGATTTTAACTTCCCAAATTGGAGTCTGGAGATGAAAGTAGGCCTCTGGTGACCTGTATGTGGCATGATACATAGCAATCAACTGTAATTAAAATATACCTGGCACTGCCTTTCCAGGGCACTGATTAATCTTTTTAAAAAGAAAGACTCATTAAACATTTTGTCAAATGAGACACTCAGCTGTTTAGAGTCCATACTGGGCAAATGGCTTCACTTCTCATTAGTTTCTCTGTCTTGAAAACAGGGATAGAGTCTTGAATCACCTTTGTAAAGTGCTTTGAAATTTGTGCATGCAGAGCACGTGATGAGAGTTTAGGGATTATGATTAAAGCTTCCTGGAATGGCAAGAAAGTTAAACTGGCCTCAGTAACAGCACACACTGATTTCCTTTAGCTTGCAAGTCCAAAACCTGGGCATTTTAGTGAAAAACCAAGACAAAGGACTGGAAAGCTTCCCAGCACAGATACATGTGGAAAATTGGCTGATTCCTACTGTTTATATAAGTAATTTCTTTTGGTCAATCAAATTGCTAGCTGGGTTGCACAGTGCTAGCTTGGTGTTGATAGCCTGCAGCCTTGTTACTTCTGAGTAACTTTAATGGAGCACTTTGCTTTTTCACAGGGGATACTTCACCAGAAGGGCTCCAGGACATCCCTCTGCCCAGCCCAAATATTAGCTTTCACTTGTGGACAGATGAAGACCAGCTTTGTGAGTGTGCTTAAATGAATAAAATGGAACAATGCAGTGCTTAAGTTGTAGACATGTTTGCCATATAGTAAAAATGTTAATTTGCTTAGATCATTTGGAGATGCTGTAGACCAGGGGTTCCCAAAGTTTTTATGCCATGGCCCAGCAAACTGTGGCCCAGCAGTCACAACCAACCGTGGCCAGAATTTCTGGCCGGAAGACAGGTAAGGATACCCCCACCCCCCAGGTGGGCCAAACCCTGCACTGCTGCGGGTCCTGAGAAATGAGCCATGGCCTCTCCACCTGGCTCTGGGGGTCCATTTGCCAGTCCACAGCCACTTCCAGTCTGGCAACCAACCGTGCTGTGGACCAGCAACCAACCCACCTCTGCCCAGCACTGGGCTGTGGCCCAGGGATTGAGAACCTCTGCTCTAGACTTCCTCTGGAGGTCCCATCAAGTGTGTATGCAATGGCCCATGTGCCTGAACTGGAGGCAAATTGCATTTCTGCTGTTTTTAAGCCAGGAAATTGGTGGCATGCAGTGTCCTCCTCACGCTGCTTTACCTGTGGTAAAGTAGGTTTTTTTAGATGCTTCTGACCTTTTGCTTGGTAGTTGTGCATGAAGATTGTTTCTGAAGCTTTGAAGAACAGGTTAGAACAGGCCTTTTAGGAACACTTCTTTAGAATGATTTAGACAACGAGGATCCTGCCTTGAGCAAGGGGTTGGACTAGATGACTTTCTGAAGTCCCTTCCAACAGAGACATAGCAAGGCAGTTCCATACTCAGGGCAGCCCCAGTGCACAGGGTAGTGCCAGCTGCTGTGGTACTGATGGAGGGGGCATGGCCAGCAGGTATTTGTGTATCCCCCTCCCCCCCCCCACACACACACACACAAAGGCAGTAGGGCTGCTTCCTTGGCTTCTAACAGGCATTCATTTAAAGGCACTATGGGATCTAATCTCTGATTCCAACAATCTCACCTCTTGCTATGCCACAAATGCATGGCAGGAGGTGCAACTGTGGAATCAGGGATCAAATCCCAAATGTGCCCCCTGCACCAGCAGCCTGGTGCATTCCTGTGGCTGGGAGTGCCAGTCTGCTGATCAGCTCTCCCAGCCTGACAAGCACACTGGAGTCTTGAAGGGCTCCAGTGAGCTCCTGAGGCTGGGAGCACCCATCAGCTGACTGGTGTTCCTAACCACAAGAGTGCACTGGAGCCCTTCAAGACTCCCGTGCACTCTCAAGGCTGATGCACTGACTTAGATGGGATGCTAAAATGACAGCCACTTGGGGAGTCTATGCCACAGCGGCAGGTAGACACCACAATGATGGAAAGTCTAGGGGCACCATGGGGGCAGGCAGACAGTGAAACTGCAACAGCAGTTGGGGGTCTTTGAGGGTGCTGATAGACCTGCAGTTCCCCACTGTAATTCATGGTGCTTTACAATAAGTGCCATGAGTTACAGCAATCCCCCCCCGCCAAACAATTTAATAGAATCATAGAAGTAGGGTTGGAAGGGACCTTGTAGATCTTCAAGTCTGACCCCCTGCCTGGGCAGGAGGAAAACTGGGCTCAAATGACCCCAGCCAGGTAGGCATCAAGCCTCTTCTTAAAGACCCCCAGGGTATTACGGCTAGGTCTGGGGAGTTAGGGGATCAAGCTCCAATTTGGAGCAGCTGCATGTCTGCAGCCTCTCTCTCCCTTAGCCCTGCTCCCACCCACCCCGCCCAGCTCCAGCAGCTCTGGTGCTGTCTTCAGGATGGGAGGTGGGGAAGGGAGCTCAGTCTGCGGTTTGCCCAGCCTGCACTAGAGGGTGGTGTGGGTGGTTTGGTTGGGTAAGGTTGTCTATCCAGCAAGGTAAAAGTCCTGGCTGGGGATATCTGCTGTGCAGGCCTTAGAAGGTTGCTGGTTCATCTGTTTGGATTGATGTTGAATTGTGCTTGTGCTTGACCAATAGACATGCCCCTGGCAAAAGAGACTGGGTATTGTTAGGAGCTTCACTGATGCACTGCCCAGTAGGTTGGACTAACAGCTTACACAAGAGCGGCACCATTGAGACAAAGGTGGCGTCCAGTGCTGGGGTTTAGAAATGTCCTTGTTGGCCATTTGTAACGGGGCCTTCTCGCGGCCGATTTCACAGTGGCCTGCCCACCTGTTTCTGGGCTAACCGCCTGCCTTCTTGCCAGCCACGCCTTGTTGTCAATTAATTAATTGATGTTAATAAAGCAGGAGGCTGCCCATTTCTTGCCCCAATGCCAGGGGGCATTATCTGTGGCTCCATTCCTCCCCTACACTGCAGCCCAAGCCTCGCAGATGGCATCCAGATGTTATCAATATCACCGGTCCCGCACTGGGCCCCAGAATCCTACTAGTTGAACCCCACTTAGATCGCTCCATTCAGGCAGCCTATTCTGCCTTCATTCCTGGCTGCATGGCTCCCTGAGTTGCTCCCCCTTATGGGTGTGGTTCCCCCCTGAGACCTTTGGTTCTATTGGTCCTGGCCCACCTCCAGGCCAGTCTTAGTTTCATAGTTGGTAGGGTCAGAAGGGACCTGAGCAGATCATCAAGTCCGACCCCCTGCCATGGCAGGAAAGAGTACTGGGGTCAAACGACCCCGGCTAGGTGTTCATCCAGCCTCCTCTTAAAGACCCTCAGGGTAGGAGCCAGCACCACTTCTCTTGGAAGTTGGTTCCAGATCCTAGCCACCCTGACAGTGAAGTAGCGCCTCCTGATGTCTAGTCTGAATCTACCCTCTGCCAGCTTGTGACTGTTATTTCTTGTCACTCCTGGTAGTGCTCGGGGGAACAGGGACTCCCCCAGTGGCTGACTAGTTTGTAAACATTGGAGCCCGAGGCCCTCAGCTCTGGGCATCCCTCGCGGTGGGCCCCCGGCCCTTCGACCCTTCCAGTCCTGGCCCCAGCATGGACCAGTCGGGGGATGTCAAAACAGGTTTGAGTCTATGGCCCCACTCTCTCGCTGGGGTCCACCTTCCAGACCCTACACAGGGGGTAACCCACCCAGTTGTGGGAGCTGGGGTTAAGGCACCCCGACCCACCTTTCACCGGGGTGGTAGCTGGCCTGGTATTTCCTGGGGGGCCCCGCGCCCCTGGGAGCCCCACCAGGCCACCCACTCCCGGCAGGGTGCAGTTTTAGGTCATGTCCAGGACCAGGAGCCTCCTGATCATCCCCTACAGCTCCTCCCTTACCTCCAGATAAAACCAGCAGTCTTGCAGCCAGATGATGTTGTTGCCTGGCTTTCCAGCAGCAAAGTCCTGTTTATATGGGCAGCCCTGAATCCAAAATGGCTGCCCTCATCAGGCACCTGCCGGCTGCTGTCTTCTGGCCCTTAAAGTGACAGCACACACAGTGCCCTGCCACATCATTGGTCATATTTGATATGAGAGTCAGACGGTGCTTGGAGAAAGTACCTGGGTAGGACAGCAATGGAAAGCTGCAGACAGCACTTAGCTGTACTGTCAGAAGCAGTTAAATGTCCAGGACAAAATAGCAGGGACAGCAAGCAGATCAGCACTGAGGTGCATTGACGGACCTGTCTAGGGGCAGCTTGGGTGACCTTCACCTGTATGATGTCTGCTGGGGCTGCAGTGAGTTTTGTATCTTTCTTTTGGTCTCTTTTTTCATAGTTGCTGACATCACAGACCAGGGTTGAAAATCAGGGAGGTGATGAGATTAACAGTCATTTAAATGACATTTCTGTAGACTGGGAGACAAATATGCCAAGTATTTGGCCTGATCCAGAGCCTGTTGGAATTGATAGAAAGGCTCCTAAGGACTTTAGTGGGCTCTGGATTAGGACCAGCAAGCCTATAATTTGGCCTTTTCACCATATTTAGGTGCCTACATGAGAGGTCTAAGTTTCAGAGTTGCTGAGTCCCCTCAGTTCCCACTGACTTTGGGCAAAGTGCTAATACCAGGCCCCCATGCAAGGACGAACCTCACCTAGTATGTCCATTGTCTTTGCCACTCATGGGATTTTTTTCTCTCGCGCAGGGAAGGAGCTTGTGCTGTTTGTCCGTCCCCTGTCACAGACCTGTGAACAGGACTGTCTGAGCCAGGAGCTAGACAACTTTGAGATACAGGACATTGTGACAGGGTGTGAGTGCTGTGAACAGACTCGGTTCTCTGTGCTATCCACCGACAGTGGGATTGAACGGGACCTGCCACCAGTGGGTGAAGAGCTTCCTCCTCATTGCAGTGCTGAGGTTGAGCACTCCCGGCTCCAGAGAAAAGGTGGCATTAAGAAAAAGGCATCTCCCTTGGAGACCATGGCCTACCTGCAGGCCAGCTGCAATGGCCCAGGAGTAAAGCATTTTGGAAAAATGCACGCAAAGTCTGGCAGCAACATGGAGTCTATGTCTCCTCTCCAGAGACTGCACACCGCCCGAATTGTAGTTTTGGGGGATGACAGGATATTGGGGCGACTGGCCCAAGCCTTTCACTCTCTGAGGTAAATAGTGGCATCTGTTCTTCAGTATATGTATGAAGAGACATTCTCAGGGGTGGCTAATATTGGAGACGACCACCCTGGACAGCTTTACAGCATGGGTTTTGTCTACTAAGTCATGCAGGTAAAAAGAGAAAGGGGAAAAGGAGCCTAGAGTAGAAGAAGGGAAATTTAAGGTGTTCAGATCTTGAGGAAAAAAATCAAAACTTTCCATTGTAAATCCCCTGTCCCCCATTTTTTGCAAGCAGTTGTATTCATAGATGTCTATATCAGGGTTGTTCAAATGTCAATCCACAGGCTGCCTACACTGCAAGTGGGCGGTGAGTGCAGCTTGGAGGGGGTAGGAGGTGCTGCTTGCATGGGTTGAGGGAAGAGAGAGGGGACCTGGGCTGCCTGGGCTGCAGGGGTTACAAAAAAAAACAGTGTGGCAACGAGGGTGGGGGGAGCCAAGCTCCTCACACTGTGTGCATGGCAAGGGGCAAGGGGGGGCAGTACTGGGCAGCCTGGCTCCCCAACTTCTCAGCTGTGTGTGCAGCATGCACAGCACTCACTCTCCTCTCAGCTGTGTGTGCTGCATGGGGAGAACCGGCTGGCTGTGCTGTTTGAGCAGGGAGGGGTTGTCTGTGCAGTGTACAGCTGGGAGAGGAGGAGAGCTGGGCTCCCATCCTGTGAGCCTGCAACCCTGTGTGAGTGATTGTATCACTGAATCAGTGTCAGAAAAGCAGCAGTGCAGCCTCTTGCTAGACCCTGATTGGAAAGGCAGTGCATGTACACGCCAAGTCCAGGACTTTTCTGTTCTGGGGCAATTTGTCCAGGGACAAATTCAACATCTGTTTGTAGCCTTAGAACTGCTATCAGAATGCAGCTGTGGACTCCCAGCATCTCCTTCACCAGAAGCAGCAAACAGGGTGATTGTTTTTGTGGTTATTGAATGATGTAACTTTTTTAACGTAGTTTTTTCATTTCAAGGAAACGAGAAACCAGGCGAGTCTTTTTGACCCCACGGCTGAACCTGCAGTTCTATTATGTCCCTGTTGTAGAGGGCCAGCAAAGCACATGGCCCACTGAAGTGAGTATTTGTGTGGCAGGGACTGTGCTCTCTCTCTTTACTCAGAGTGTCACTGTGGGGCTGTCAAGAGCCAGGGTTCAGACTGAGCTGATGTGAGTGTTTGTCTGAGGAACCACTAGTTTTTATAGAAACTAAGATCTGATGTTGTCTAGCCCATATGGTTCTAAAAAAACAGTTTTCCCCAAACCCCTGTACCTACCTCCTTGAAACTTGGCAGACTTTGTGGCCTCCGCAGGGGCTACCATCCCTGCAGTTTTCAATCCCGCTGCTCCTTAACACACACAGGGTCATCTATGTTACGAGTTTTGCTTGTCCGCAGCTTGATGTGCAGTTTCCCCCAAACCCCTGCACCTATCGCCTTGAAACTTAGCAGGCTTCATGGCCTCACCAGGGGCTACCACCCCACAGTTTTGACCCCGCTGTGGCTTAACACATACACGTGACATGAGTTTTGCTTTCAAGAATTTGGGGTGCAGTTTCCCCCAGACCGCTGCTCCTATCTCCTTGAAACTTGGCAGGCTTTGTGGCAAGCTGCACCCCCTTACTCTGCCTCTGTCTCATGTATTAAATAGTAGCTTTTTATTTTTATTATTATGATGATTATGTAGCAATGATGCTTGGGAGACTTGGTCACAAACCAGGATCCCATTGTACTAGGCATTGTACAAACACAGCACAAAAGGCAGCCCTGGCACCAAAGGACTTAGTCTAATGATCCCCCTGTCTGTAAAAATCCTTGAAATTAAAAGTAACATAAACAGAATTGCTTATTGAAGTCTGGGTCCTGCAATGAGCTCCACCGAGCAATGAGTTCCATAGAGCCCTGTGTCCTGAAAGACTCAGTTCACATGTGCAGGGCATCACAGAGTTTGCCTGTGGCACAGGGACAGCAACCTGTACATGCTGATGTGCTCCAAACCTGGAAATTCACTGGAGACCAATAGTGTGGGAGCCGGCACAGAGGAATGCTCTTGAGCAAGTTTCAGGATTAGGAACATATTTCCTAGCATGGAAGAGCAGAGCATACTTGGGGCCTCTCCTGGCTGGGACATGCTATCACTAAGGTGCTTAGGTGTGTTTGCCTTATGTCTTTCTGCATGGAGCTCATTTGGGAGAAAAGGCTTAAATGAGGCTAAAGTCAGAACAATCTTCGAACAAGGAGGATAATATCTGGATCCGTGTTAGCTTGGAGCCTGGGCTGTTGTGGGTTCATGGCTATCATTAGAAGCCAATAAACAATTATCACCACAAATCATTTAACTTTGTCCTGGTATTGGCAGTAAATCTTAGCTAAATGTGCGTTTTCTATTATCAGTTAATTACTTGTATTCTTTATTCTCATACTTGTAGAGGAAGCAGGATAAGATCAAAGCTATCTAAATCAGGTGTGAAATGCAGAGGCCTCTAGCTGCTCCTGGTAGACTCACAGGTGTTGCTTCAATCTTGCCCTCTTCTCCTTCCCTTCCTTCCTACCCCTCCAGCCCCCACCAAATGCACAGCAAACAAGAGCAGAGGGAAGCAAGGATAATAAACAGGTGCAGGAAAAAAATCCAAGGCATGTCCAAATATCCCATCTTATCAGTGTATGTAGAAGAAAAACACAGGTATTACGGTAGCTAGGAATAACACTAAAACAGTTAGACCAAATACTGGAGCAGAGTCTATGCTGATGCTTGTTATCACTGTGCATTTTCCCAGATCCTAAAGACACAGAGGCAAGTTTTGTTAACAGTATAATTAAATACATTTCCTTTGCTTCTGGTGTTTTAACCTTTGCCTTTAGGGATATTATTCCATGTAGAACAAGTGAAAAACAAGGGGCTGACCATCCTGTGCTGTTTGTTTCTTCTCCAGGAACACACTATGCCTAGCCAGATAGACCTCTGTGAAGTGGCTGGGTACCTTGGGAGAGCTGACCCGTGGTATGAGAACAACATCAACACTCTGTGTCATATGATCCCCAAGCTGGCGACTATGGTATGAAGAGAAATCCCTCTTGTTGTGCACTGTTCATGTTGATCAGGTTTTTGATATTTTTATTATTCTCTGATTATTCAAAGGGCAATCATACAGAGCTGTTAAATGGTAGTGGGGAGGAGGTGGAAATGGTATGCATTTACATTACTGCTACCCTAGCAGCAGTATCTTTGCCAGTTCACCCCACTGGAACAGCCTTTCTTTGATCAAAAGACTCTTACAAATTTAAAAACCCAAGTGTAGAGAAAGTACAATGCAAAAAGGCATTTGCTAAAAAGAGACATTTCACTGGGCTGGTTTTTCAAACTATTTAGAGCGTCATTCTGAGCAACTGCTCCTATTAATGGCAGAGGGCAGGCCTTTTTCTCCCCCATGGGATCCAACTGATCCTTCTAGAGCAGTAGGCAACCCCCCTGCACAGGTGCCAGAGCATGGCATGCAAAGGCATTTTGGGGCAAGCGCCTCGGGGCAGATGGCAGGAAAAGGACCAGGGCTGCACTGCCACAACAAAGGCTGGGCCCTTCATGGCTCCCCCACCATCTGCCTCTGGCACACCAACATCTTACAAGTCAAAGTTGTGGGTGTTTGGCATTCTACCCAAAAACGTTGCCGACCCCCATTCTAGAGAAATCAAGCACAATCAGTATATGGTGGTGTCATCTCTGGTAACTTATCTAAAAGAGAGTAAGAATCAGAGTGATAATTTCAAAGAAGTGACCACAGCTGACATGTGATTTCCCCACAGCCTTCTTCACCAAGCAAACATCTTGTGACAAATACCTTCATCATCGATGTAATGTCTTACTACATACGCATGGGTATCCAGCCAGTGTGTTTCCAGGTCTACTCTGTTAAGGTCAGTGCCTTATTTCTGCTGTACATTTAGTTAATACGCTAGCGGCTGCCAGCAGTCCAAAATTACCTTGCTGTTCACAGCCCCATTGTGCTGAAGAGTATTAGCTATGCTATCCAATCCCTATTCTGCTCTGTGTGTTAGTAGTCCTAGTGATTTCTCAAAACTGATTCAGAGGGACAGCTGGAACTATCTGGTTCCAGAACCATGCAAAAGACCTGATTTCACATGATTTTGGCACTGGGCATAAATCAGTGCCAGGTTCCCTATTTAATTGGATTCAGGTTTGCAGACAAGATGTGTAATACAAAACAAACCTGTTCTGTGTTTTAGATTTTCTGAAACAGGGAATCAGGTGATTCTTGGGTGGTTTTACCACCCTCTGTTTGCTCTTTGCAAGGTCATGGGATTTCCTGAAATCTCATGTTATTTATTTCCTGTTAGCTTTTTTGTGAAGCAGAATTTGAGTCAAACCTGCCATTTGACATGAAACCAAAGCAATTAGCAAAGAACAGTAATGAGACCACTAGCAGGCAATGATCCCAGGGTCTTTAGCACCAAAGCCCCTGAGCGACTTATTTTAGTGAAGCTAAAGGACTAGATTCTTCTCAGCTAGGGACAGACATTCAGAAAGCTGGAGCCTGAACTGATGCAACCTTTGCAGGTTAATCTAACCCACCTAGGATGAACCGGTTTGTAACATGCTCTCTGGACTGAGACAATGTGGGCAGACCCCTGCATTTTTTTTCAGTGCGGGCAGACCCCACGGCCAGCAACTAAATAAGCCCCTTTCCACCAGGAGGGGCTTGCCCCAAGTACAGAGAGAGGCTGCGGCACTGCAGCAGGGTCTGCCCAGCCCAGCCACTGCCGCCCTATGCCCGGAGACAGTTCCCTGCTGGCAGGAGGGGGCTTATTCAGCCGCTGTGTCCAAGCACAGGGCAACTGTGACCCAGCCGGGCAGACCTGGCTGCTGTGCAAGCAGCCTCTCTCTGTGCTTTGGGCAAGCCCCTCTTGGCAGAAAGGGGCTTATTCAGCTGCTGGCCGCAGGATCTGCCTGGTCAGGCCACAGCTGAAGCTTGGTGGCGATTAGTGGGGACTGAATAAGCCCCCTCAGTGTCTTGCTCCGGCACAGAACGAGCAGTGGGGGGGCCAGCCCTGCCCTGCCCCTGCCTGGCAGCTGGAGTGGTGAGTGTCTGATGGGCAGGAGCCCATCACAGCTTCCTGGCAGGGCTGGCAGAGTGGCTGTGGAGCATGGCAGCGCTGCAGGGGCTTGCAGGGCTCTGGCTCCAGACCCTGGCGCTGCCTTGTGCAGCCCGAGCCCGCAGCGCAGCCCCTTGCTGGGAAGGAGCTCGCTCTCCCGCACAGTGTGAGAGGGGCTGCTGCCTCCAGTAAGCAGCGATGGGGAGGGGGTGAAGCCAGGCAAGGCCCCTGGGGAGGGCAGGGACAAGTTTATTCATCTGGCGAAGGAGAAAGCTGGGGGTCTATTCTGGCCAGGGAGCCACCCAGCTGCCAGTGGGGTAGAGGGGAAACTAACTCTGCTCCCTACCCCGCTCTGCCTCGGGGGCCATGATGCCCCCCTGCTGCAGCAGCAAGGGGGTGCAAGCAGACCTGGCTCGGGTCACTGCTGGTGGCAGAGGGAGGGGGAATTAAACCCCTCTCTGACCGACCCCTGCCGGTCCCAGCTCGGGCTGCGGAGCAGAGGTGCAGAGCCAGCTCGGCTGGGCTGGAGCAGAAATCCCCCCACCCCGAGAGCATGCCAGGATGCTGGGGGTCTCTGATTTAACTCAAACCAGCAAAGGGTCTGGGACAGACATTGCATAAACCGGTTTGAGCCATATCAGTTAAGTCTGATACTACATTCAACCAGGTTTATCTCAAACCAGTTTCAGCCATTTTCAAATTGGTTTATGTGCACTGAATGCCTGTTCTGTTACAGGTTTAAACCAGTTTCTGATCACTTAAACTGGTTTATGTGTAATCTCTGTCCCTGGCCCTTGTGTCTCTACAGGACATGCAGTTATTTTATTACACATGCTTGTGCTGATTTACTTTGTGAGATCTTGCATGTGCCTTCAAGCAGTGGGCACTGCAGCAGCTGTTGCATAGTTTGAGGCTCTGTGCCATGGTCACAGGTGGTTGAACCAGTGGTATAGCCCCACTTCTTCATTAGTTCCTTGGAGTGCCTGACTCCATTACGCTCACAGTTGAGACATTGCCACCTTTGCTGTGGTTCATCAGCCCCTGGTTGGTAAGGACTCAGCTGCTGAAATGTTCGTTCTTTTTCACTGTCGGGTGTTTTCTTCAGCCTCTATCGTGTCTCCTTGGGTGTGGCATCGAGAGTTTGGGTGCTGGTGAGGAAGTTCCTGTATGACTTGAGACCTTTGTGCGCTGTGGGATGGTTGTACAGCAGGTGTCTCGCATCTTCAGTTTATCTCAGTCATTCTATCCTGCTGGCCACTGCTCTTCTGATGGCAGGCAGAGTGATACCAGCCTGGTGGGCTCCAGGCATCCTGTGATGCATCTGCAGCTACCATCCAGAATGGGGTGAAGGCAGTTTGTATGTACAGATCTCTCCCATGCAGGGCATGCATACTCGGCAGAGGAGAAGCTGAGAACCAGCGCAGTGGTTCAGATGATTAGCTCCCCATTTTGAGTAGTTGAGTTTATACAGAATGTTGTTACGAGCGCTCACCTTTGCTTTTGTCTTCATGATTTGTTCTTTGTATGAGAGTTCACTTTGTTCAATCAAAGGTAACTCCAAGGTAAACTGGATTTGCACAGTGGAACAGTGGGGTTCTGGACCATGTAATGCTGAGCTGGCAGTTGGCCTTATGGTTTTTCAGATGAAAGGCATATACTTGTGTTTTCACTGAGTTGGCACTTAAGTGATTTTCAGTGTAGCACGAGGTTAGGCCTCGCTTAGGGATTTTTCAACATGGTCAAAGCCAGTGTTTTGGGCTGTTATGTACAAGTCATCTACATAGATGAAACATTGTTTCCAAATCAACTGGCTGCTCATTCATATAGATATTATATAACAGGAGTGCAGGTATGCTTTCTTGGGGGAGGCCATTAATCTGTCGGCTCCATCTTCTCTTCCCATCCAGTTTGACAAAAAAATCTGTTTTCAAGCAAGGTTCCTATCAGCTCAGTAAGGCATTGATCTTTTGTCATTTCCAGGGTCTTCTGGAGGAGTTGTCAGTGGTTAACTCAGGGGTTTTCAAACTTTGTGATACTGTGCCCCTGAGTGCTGGATGGCAGCAGCAGGGGACAGGGAGCTCACATGCAGCAGCCACCACTGCCGTCCACCACTCCGTGCCACAGCCATGCACCACTTCCCCACGCCGCCGCGTGTACCCCCTAGGAAGTTTGTGGTCCCCTTTTAAGTTGCTCACAACCCCCGTGTGGGGTTGCAACCCATAGTTTGAGAACCCCTGGGTTAACCGAATAGTAGGTGGCTGTTAGGTTGACAAACAGTTCTGGGGATTTGGCCTCTTTCAAAACCATCCTCAATATGTTGAGTTTAAACTGAGTAGCTGGCTCATTGACTTTCCAGGGTGAAAGCTGCCCTGTTCAGGGATGAAGTGTTCATCCACATATGGGGCAAATCAGTTCAGTATCAGTCGTTTGTACAATTCGTATGTGTGGCATAGCAGAGAGAGAGGTCTGAAGCTCTTTGGATCTGGTGGATCTTTCCCTGGCTTTAGAAACACCACTACCTGAGCATGTTGCCATATCTTTGGAAATTTTTGACTGGCTGTGCATGAGTTGTATAGGCAGAGGAGCCATTCTCGAGTCTGGGATCTTAATTGCTTGATTTGTTCGGTAAGTATGTCATCAAGGCGAGCTGCTTTCCTGGTCATCAGTGCTTTAATGCCAGCATTCATCTCCGTCATTAAGAAGGGGCTTGTAAAATCCAGGTCTTTGGAATACTTGTGCCTTTTTAGTCTGGGGTGGGGGGAGGGGGGTGTTTGTTTTTGGTCTTTTTCCACTGAAGAACGTCTGGTGGGCAATTTGACTAGCAGTGACATTTATGATGTTGTTCTACCTTTCTGGGTTGTTGCTTAGTGTGTGTATTGTCACTTATGCCTTTTTACTATTATCCATCATATCAATTGCCTCAATCACAACCTGCCAGGATTTACGGCATTCTTCTATGATGGCTAACATAAGCTCCTCACCTGTAGTAGTGGTGGTTGCAGAAAAAGGGTCTAGTTCATACTGTCATTTGTTGTCTTCATGTAGGCCAGTGGTTGGCAGAGTGAAGCCTGGGAAGTTATTCATGCAGCAGCCCCACAGGATGTTCATCCTGCAGATTTCTGTACAGCTTTTATGAATTGGTCATAGTTCTTAGGCAGTGCTTTGATGGTTTTGTCTGACATCAAGTTATTCTGAAAAGCCTTTCCAGTTTGCCTTTTAAAGGTTGAAACGTCCAAAAAATGGCACTGTTATAGGTGTTACTGTGGCTTTGATCTGAATGCCAACTGGCTGATGTTGGGAATGTGGGGTAAGGTCTAAAACAATTTTATTACTTAGCCCAGTGATGGTGTTGCTGGTAAATGTAAGGTCTGGGTTGTATCCTCATTTCCAGCAGCCACTGTTAAATGATTTAGGTAGCTTTGGGTCATGGACTAGGTGTATCTAATGAAGAAGTTTATAAGGGGCTACCTTCTGTGTACCAGCCCAGAAAGGGACAAGTATCCCACCTTGTCAGTGCATGACAAGACTTCCTATTTTTCTTCTAACTCCAATTTGCCCTGAACTCTGCTCCTTGATGCTTTATGACTGATGATTTTATTTTTACATTTATTTTTATTCTATAATATTTCTGCTCCATGATAGATTTAAAAAACTCCAGACAAATAAAAGAGGGAGAAATTGAGCTACCAAAAGAACAGGAGCAGGTTCCAGGCCTGATTTTTAAAAATGAGAAACTAACCTATCCATAAACCCTGAACTCATGCTGGACATGATCCTGCTTCCACAGGGCCTAATTTTCATTTAGATTAAGGCCCCTTTACAACTGTCTGCCCATGAAAAGAAAAAACTTTGAAATTGGTGTCTCTTTCTGTGAAAGGATTTAAGCTGACAGACTCAAGTATAAGTCAAAAGTGACACCCAGTGGTGAGGTGCATAGTGCACCAAGGGAAATGCCATTTGCATCTATATGCAACGCTGTCTCCTCGATTTGGATGCTCCTGACCCTTCTAGGAGAGGATGGGAAATGTTGAGATGGAGTATCCTACTTCTGGAATTTGTATCTCCTCTATGAATAAGGAGATGTGGATGAACTCGGTTCATTCTTCATGATGTAGCCTTTGTCTCTATCTAGTTGTTTCCCATGTGAAGCCACAGCCTCCTCCTTGTGACAGCACAAGTGGTTGCTGCACAGATATTGGTCATGTCTCGAATTGGAGAACAATCAGGATCTAGTCTTAGAGAAGTTTTTTTGTCTTTCAGATTTTCTTCAGTGACACAGCTCAGGAGCCAGCAGAGGACGTGTTTGTCACTGAGCTGAGTGTAAAAGTACAAGATTACAACCCCACCAGAGGTACATTTTGGGTTTTGGTGTTTCCTTGGACACCACAAATCCCTTCTAATCTGGGCTTGTCACTCTCTCATAAGTTTTCCCTATGCATGATCAAGCTCATCGTAGTTACCAAGGAGGTAAAAGATGTAGAATGGGGCAATAAATTGGTAGTTTCTGAGGATTTCAGGCAGTGTTCAGGTCTGCTTCTGTTGACATAGGCCAGAACTCACACTAAACTCACACTAACACTATCACTAAAACTGATAAAAGGGCTAGCTTTTCAAGGCCCAAATCAGGGCTGCCCAGAACAGGTAGCAAATGTAGTGTAGTGATGCCAGTGTGGAGTGCAGTACCCTCTCCTGCACCACAGAATAAGATATGTGGAGGCAACTCGAGACAGGATACAAGTAGAACCATGATTCCTCCAGTAGCTAGCTCCCAGTCTATGTAGGGGCTTTACAGATAGTGACAAATGCCTCCGTTTGCTCTTGGAAGCACACATAACCAATGTCGAGCTTACTGACTGGTCATGATATATGACCTTAGTGCCTCATCTCAGAAGGTGAAACTTCCAAGTACTTCCATGTGCAACATGGAATTTGAAAAATGTAGCTTTTTAAAGAGGAGGCAATTGAAAAAATGTTTGCAAAATATTTTCCTTGTGACTCAGTCTGCTTTCAGAAATTGCCAACAGATGAGGTCAGGGACTATATATGGAGACTGGAAGTATTCCAAAAAACACTAGAATGAAAACTTCTTGGGTTCTAATTCTACCTTTAGATCTATGCTATAGTGGAAAGGGCATGAGCCAGCTCCCATTAAAGTCAATGGGAATCTTTTTATGGGAGTTGGATATGTACAGTTAGGACTAGATCCTATTTTACTTCACCAAATAGCATTTACATTCAGTTTGCAGTTTTACTGTAGGTGCAGTATGGATGCACAAGCAATCCCATGCATGGAGGCCAGGCAGGTGCACAACACTGTAGCCTTTCCCAGGTACATGTTTAGGTCCTAAAACTGCAGCTGGCAAAAACCCATGGTGGAAGCTGAACAATTTCACCTTGCATTTCATCATCATTGGATATAGTAGATGAAGAGTAGTGCAGTGCAGAAGTTACTGCCTCAGTGGGAGCAAGGGTCTAAAGTAGAACCAGGGGTCTGTCCTACTTAGGGCAGCGACCATCTCACTGTGCTACACACCAGCTACCTTTTTTGCTTACTCCTGGCCATGCCTATATTCCTCTCCTGGCTGCCCAGCTTCAAGTGGAGGGCTGGAGAGCGTACTTATTAGAACACAAGAATATAAGAACTGCCATTTACTGGGGCAGATCATAGGTCTATCTTGCCTGGTATCCTGTACCACACAGTGGCAGAGTAGATGCTAGAAGGGAGAATGAGCAAGGAATGACCAGGGTGTTTCCCCTGTTCCTCTCCCACTTGCAGCCTCCAGCCTATAAGGTCTAGGAAATTCTGATTCAGAGGCTGTACCCGTAACTCAATAGCTACTGATGCATCTTTACTCCAAGAATTTGTCCAATCCCTTTTCAAATCTAGTTAAACTCTCAGCATCCATAGCACCTTGTGGCAGTGCATTCCACACTTGAATTATGTGCTGTGTGAAAAAGAACTTCCTTTGGTTAGTTTCAAACTTGCTACCTCCTAATTTCATTTCATGACCCCTAGATTAATGGCTAGTTTGTGGTTTGGTGGTTAGAGACCTGTGCTGGAAAGCACTAAATGCTGTTTCAAACTCTTTCTGGGGGCCTAAAATCTGGGTCTCCCACTTTCGAGGAGAGTGCCTTAATCAGGCTGTTGTGCTAATACATGGAAGGGTTGCCCTCATCCTCCACCATTTGTTTCTAACAGGCAGGTGTCCACATGATTCTTTTTCTCTAGCAGATGAAATAGAAATGTAAATTGTGCATAATTACCAAAAATTCTAATATAATAAAAGCCTCTGTCTGTCCATAACACTTTATTCGCACTCTGGTTGTCTCGGCAGCCAATCACAACACTAACTGAAACAACCAATCAGAATTTTTTAAGACCGTTCTGGAGTGGGGATGATGGTGAGGAGAGAGCAGAGAAGCAAGGCCAGCACTGCTGACCTAACAGCCCCGCACCCCCCTCCCCAGCCCTGCTCCCTGGAGGTGGCAGCAGCATGGGATGCTGGCTGAGGGGAACATAGGGATGGCAGGGCAAGCCCCCCCACACTGCTCCTGGGAGGCGGTGGCAGCGCTCCATCCCCCACATCCTATCATTCCTGACGGGCAATTGGCTAGTAGTACGTAAGATGCTAGGTAAGTGTCATCTGGTTGTGTAAAGTGAAATGAGATCTATCCCTTACTGAACAATGTGTGCTATTTGTTCCTGTTGATTTCCCTATTCCAGACTTAGTGCTGGCAAGGAAGAAGACAATGCTGGAAGGTCCTGGGGCAGATATTGCAGCAAAGTATAGAAAGGTAAGACAGGGCTTTTAGAAGCATGCAACACCTCACTGTTCATAGGACTCCTTTTGACCTAACTGGCAGGCAGGGAGCTCCCTTTAGGCAAGAACTATAGAGTGGACTCCCCAGTTAAGAAAAAACTGCTATTGCTTTGGTTAACAAGAACATGCTCACATTACTTCAGGAGTGGACTCTTGGGAAGGAGCTTGAGAAGTCCTCTATTCCATCCCCCTGTCCCAAGGCAGGATCTCTAGAAACTAGACCTAAACCATCACTGAGATATTTTTCTAACCTGTCTGTAAAGTGCCCTAATGATGGCGATTCCACAGCCTCCAAGGTAAAATACTCCGATTCTGACCTATCCTTGTGGTTAGAAAAAATGTCCAAATGTCTGATCTAAATCTGATACTCTGGTGTGGGGGAGGAGGCTTTTTAAAGGGCAAAGTGATTACTTATTGTTGACCATGTCCAGGTAACATGCTAAAACTGTTTTTTATTAAAAAAGGTACTTATTTTTCGGTCTCAAAAAGGCTTAAGAGCCCAGTCCTGGCATCCTTATGTAGACTTTGTAGTCCTTTTACTCAGTGAGTTGTCATCTCATTGAAGCCAATGGTCAACTGGAGGTTGTTTTGAGGGCTAAGTATTCAGATACATGCCCAATTCCCTTTCTTGCTTGAGCAGCTTAGAATTTGTTTTTGTTAATGAGGCTCTTGGGGTATTTTACATTTTCTACCCTTTTCCCCTCCATTTGGATGAGTTTTCCCTGGTCCTAGTCTTTGCTGTTTTCTCTAACAGAGAAGGTTTGCATAGACAGATGAACACACATCCCACTGTAATTTGCCATGGATTTGAATATGCATTACAATGGGATCAGGAGTAGGGAGACATGTAGCTATCCCTGGGTATCTCACACAGTAGGGGATATATGAGCTGAGAGGAGAGTGAGGGAGATTGAAGACAAACCTACCCTCACCCAATGTGTGATCCATGTGTCAGGCACTAATTTGTTTCTCTTTAGGCATAACACATTTTTCATGATGAAGTGTAATGGTGTTAATGGAACCTTTTCTGCAGGTTTTGCTGAGTAGTCGGGGAAAAGAATTGGGTGTCTCGCTGAGATCTACTGGCTTGGTGATGAAAGCCATTCCGCCTGATGAAGCTGAAGGTAAGACTCCTCTTTGTGGGTCTGTGAGGACATCTGTTTTTTCCTACCTGTTCAGTGTTATTGGGATTCTTGAGCAGGACTTTGAAGAAGCTGAAGTGACAAGTTTCAAAAGAATTTGCCTGAAATTGCTCAATACATGCTAGTATTAGACTGTGGAGCTTAATCATTGCATATGGATATTCATATAGCAGCACACATGATCAGTATAGCTTGAAGTCATTCATCTCCTATGTTCCTATCTCCCAAGTCTCATGCTCATGTTTTAAGACTCCCAGTAACTTAGAATACAACATAACTGTAGTCTGGACTCACCTGCATATTTTTTTTCTGATCTATATTCCATGTATTCTATGTGTGCACTGACCAAGGTATCATAGATTCCCATCTCTGATATAACCCAAGGCCAGGAAGAGAGAGAGAGACACTTTTGGACACTGGGCTTCTTAGTTAAGTTTGGCTCAGTTTCCCCTCTTAGCTCTCCAGGGCTTATGATAACATTTATTTTAGTTCACATTCAAACAGCCCCTGAATGTTGCTTTCAGCGGAGCCAAAAATTCAAGGCACTACATTCAAGTTCTGTCTATTTTTGGGTTGAAGCGCAGAAACACTGGACAGCTGAAGCCAAACATGGTCCTGAGCTAGCATAGGACCTATGAATTATGATATAGGAGTAGGGAGAGCCTAGGGTTCAAACTGCCTGGGGTAATGTTTGGGGTTGCTACACAGGCCTCACTCTCAGTCTTACCTAGTGTAGGGAACTGGCATTGCTCTCCATTTCCTTTTGGGGTGATGGGAAAGATGGAAAGAAGGATTAGTAATGGAGAGTCCCAGGAGATGGACTGAAACTGGGATTTGCAGATAACACAACAGTTCATCACCACAGTGCCATGATTAAGTGTGCAAATACCTGCTTACACAAACCCAGGGATTTCAAATAGGAAGCCATAGTGTCCAAAACGTTCTGATCTATTGCAGTCTTTCTGAGCTCTTTGCAACAGAAGAGTTGCACAATTTTTCTGTATTCAAAGAATTGAGTGAAAGCTAACAGTTGGCATTTTCTCAGAGGTGCCTTGAGCCTAATGAAGGGTGCCTTGAGTCTAGAAAAGTTGAGGACTGCTGATTTAACACCTCAATTCTGTTGCAGATCTGGTGTGCTTGAATGTGTATATTACTGAAGTCATCAAAACCAGCAACCTTTCAGGAAGATCATTTTCTGTAAGTATCTGTGACAGCTTGGGGAGTAAGAGTCTGTATCAATGTCAAGCCTGCGCTTGGATGAGAGCCCTTAAGGGAAACTGCAAGTTGCTGCAGGGAGCGGGAGAAGGAGGACTGGCCAACATAGTCACTAAAACATGTCATGAGGGTCCATCCACACAGTAGAATAAGAGTAGTAAAAGAGGAAGAGATTATCCTGAGCTCCCCTTCTTTTCCATAATGGATCCACGAGGAATATAGGGTAGGACTTGGACAGCCTTACCCCTTGAACTCCATCAAACCTAACATGTACTCCCTATTATCACTCCTGAGGTTACCCACAGTAACAAGCACTCCATTAATTATAGTCATTTGAAAGAAATGCTATAAATGGAAAATCTTAAATAGCAGCATGTTATTAGAGATTTCTCTTATTCTTTACTCTCTCTTTACTAAAAAACAAATCAAAACAAAATAAAATAAGCCCTCCTATTGCTCTATAGAAGGAGAACAGAACTGTTGTGTAGGGTTGGTTAGAAAATGTTTAAAGATTTTTTTTTTTTCCCCAAAAGGAAATTAAAGTTGTTTTTGTTGTTGAAAAATCCAAGCAATTCAACCTTTTCTCTTGAAATATCCAAGCAATGCTCTCTTTCTTGCCCCTCAGCACTGCCTGGGTGGAACCTTCCTTGCATTAGCATCTTTGTTTAGCAAGACCTGACACTGAGATCATGAGCTCTGCTACATTTTAGGACACAGAGGACAAACTTTTGAGTGGAGATACAGGATGTGACTCTTGTTTATATTAAGCCCCCTCTACATCATTCTGTTGTGAGCATAAATTTGCCTTTATTTTAAGACCTTTTTGTCCCTGCCAGAGCACTGCAAACAGGTCTTGGTGTAACTGTGATTTGGATCCTTTCCAGCCAAAAAACCAACAGTAGAAGCAATACAGATCTGCAGAGATGATGGGGTCACCTCAGAGGCAAGCCTGACACTAGACACTGGAAGAAAAGCTTAGATGAAAGTTTTGCCTCCATTGTGGACTGCTTTGCAGAGCCGTAGCACCTCCTCCCCTCCTCTCCTTAGTTAATCCCATTTTGTTGCCCGTTTCTGTCTGCCACTACTGACGCACAAGCATCTTTGACGCACTCTAGCTCTAGCTGAAACCCCAGGGAGATCTCTTTGGAAGCCTCTCCAGCTCCAGTGAGCTAATCCTCAAAGACGCATGTGTTGAGATTAAGGCTGTATGCAAAACATTTTCATTTAGTAGGAACAAAAATAAGAAGCAGTGACTCAAACAACTTTAACAACCAGCATTTAAAGCTAAATATGCATGACCTGGGATTGCTAACTCAGTCAGAAGCAGGTCATGTTTCTCTGTCACTTCCTCCCAGCCCTAATGAGATGATGTGCTGTATCTCTAAGAGGGTTAGCACACATTGTATGGCCACTTTGGTGTGTGTGGAAGGGGGAAGGACTAGGGTGACTTTAAGCCAGAGGTGTCAAACTTGTTTGAGTTGGTGAGCTGGATTCCAATCAGGAGCTTTTTGTAGGTCAAATAATCCACCTCCAGATCCAGTTTGTGGGGCTTCTTGTCAGAGCTGCCCAAGCTGCTGTTAGCATGGCCAATACATGGAGGTTGATGCTACTGCCACTCATCAGGTTTGCATGCTGAACAGCAATCATATACTCTAAATTTGGTGGCAGGGGTACAGTATTATTGACCCCCTGGGGGTTGGCTGTGCTGGCACAGTGGGTTTGAGATCTGCAGCAAGATGTTTTTCAGCCTAGATCTGGATGTGAATTGTCTGGACAGGGAAGCACCATGGGCAGGATGACACACATGCCTGGTCTGGATCTAGCCTGTGGGCTGTATGTATGACACCCCTGCATTAAGCCAACTGTGTGCTCTTTCAATTATGGGTTACTTTAGTGTTATCTTGGACAACACTGGGGCCTGCATAAATAACAGCAGTCTCTCAGGCTGCCTTTGTCTGCAGTGTTGCTTGAATCTCAGCAGTATTATGTGCCACAGCTACATTCTCAGTGTGCCCTGTCTGCTTCCAGTCTCATCTCCAGCACAACCTCAAAGCCAGAGTTTTGTAAGGGAGTTCCCTTGACATCCTCTGTGCAGCCTTTCCCTGTGTGAGAGGAATCCTCCACTATTGCATGTAGTGGAATTAGGCTCTTTCACACCACTGGGGCACAGAGGAGCAGGAGTGGGGTGAGGGTCTCAACCCCAGACTCCAACACTAGCAGTCCCTTGTAAGGCTGCTGAATTAATTCAAAGTGTGAGGAGACTTTAAACAGTGGGTTTTTTATCACTAATTTCATGTTCCTTGTTTCATGGGCACATTTAAAGGGGCCTGGGTTTTTTCTTTTTTTTTCTAGAGAGATTGAGCAGCTGCAGCTCCCACTAATTTCACCAGGAACTGTGAGTGCCTGGCACACTGGAAAATCAGGCTCCTTTTAAGTTGTGCCAAATTAGGTACCCAAAATCACTGGTTGCTTTTGCAAATATTGGCACGTTTATATGGGAAGGAAAAGGAAGGAGCTAGCTTTCCATTTCACCTGTCACATCTTGTCTTCCAAGGCCAAATAAATAGACATTCACCCATACATACACATACTCTCTCACCATCTCCAGCTCTCTCACACCATCCCTCTCCTGCCAGCCTGAGCAAGGGAAGTTAAAAATTCATTGGGTTTTTTTTCCCCTCTGTTCTAGTTTATGACAAACAAGATCAGAATGCACAGTATCGAAGTCAGCAGCATGGATCAAAAGACCTTCACGCTGTGCCTGGACAAAGACTTCAGAAGAACCTACAGGAATGTAGTCAGGTGAGGTCACTTTGCTGTAAAGCTTTTAGCAAGCAATGCCCTATTGATTTAAAATGATAGACTTTCCTTTCACAGGACTCCTTAAGGCAGAACCAGACACTTTGCCCAGTTACAAAAGGTGCAACTGGAGGTCTGGAGAGATGGGTTCTGCTCCTGATTCTTTTAATGATTTGATGACAGACTTTTGACTAGTTATATTGCCTACTGGTGTGTGTTTCCTTGGGTGAAAGATGGGGGCAGAGGGGGTGAAAAATTTGGACAATACTGTCCCACTTCTGTAAAGTGTTTTGAGATCTTTGCGAGGAAAGAACTATTTCCTGATGATGATGACGATAACTATTATTCATTATAATTTAATTGCTGCTGATGCTTTCCAACATGGATTATAAAATACTGTTTAAAATCGTGTTAAAGAGATTAGCTAGAGGAGCATCCAAGTGAATTCTCCCAGCACGGTCAAGCATGGTTAAAGGACATGCACTGGTAATAACAGATGCATTACCAGTTCTGTGGAAGATCTTTGAGGCCTCTGCAGAGGCAGTAGAAAGGATGACATTATTCCCTTGCTCAAAGCAAGGATGTTGACAGGGTGAGCTATCAGCTCTATGGAATATATTTCCTATTAATGCAATTCCTCAAGAATTTATAGACTGGCTGAAAGTTTTATAGATGGACTCAACTAGCTTACCTTAATTAGGCTGGATATTAGGAAAAGCTTTCTAATGGGAAGAGTGGTTAAGCACTGGGGCAGATTACTTAGGGAGACACTGGAATCTCCAGCAATGGAAATCTTTAAGAAAAGGTTGAACAAACACTTGGATGAGATGGTTTAGGCAGAGAAGAACATGCCTTGAGCAATGGAGTGGACTAAATGATCTACTGGGGTCCCCTCCAGCCCTTTGTTTCTATGATTCAGTGTCATAACAGTAACAAACTCAAGCAGTAGAACTTGGCTTATTTCCTGTGTACCTTTGTGGAAAACACCCAATCCCTCCATAGTCCTGTCTCCCCAGAGGAATGTCCTGAAGTTTAACTTGAATGTTTTAAAGCATTTTGAGATGCATGAATGGAAAGTATTATCTAAGTGTGTCAGTGTAATACTTGCCTAACACCTTTTGGATTTGGATACGTGAGTTTTCCTCGTTTTTCTATCTGGAAATATTATATAATATTGCCTGTTTTTAAAAAGTTGCTTTTGTTCCACCCCAGAAATTGCTGCACTTCTGTGGCATGATCAATGATTCTTAATAACTGTTTTAGAGACATCGCCCTAAAAGCTTAAAATGTAAAGATGGGAGGCTTTTCTTTTTACACACACAAAATAAAATAACCTTTTCTTTCTTTTTTTAAACCAGCTTAAACCATTGAATTCCATCCTCCTGTATTCCCTTCTCCCTTATCTTTCACAGCTGGTGCCATGTTTCCTTTGCACTTCCTTCAAGACAGCAGCTAATTAATTATGAGCTGTCCAGAAATCCCTGTCAAGGGAAGGGTCATGTTTAGGGGTATGCTACTGTTCAGTAAAAGGCTCACATAGAGATGGGTGATACTTCCCTCTGAGCCAGCAGAAAGGAATTTCACATGGCAGCAGTATAAGCTGAAAGGTTGACATGGAAAAGAAAACTGCAAAACCTGATGGTAAGCAGCCATCAGACTGCTTACAAACCTGATGGGGTGGACAGTGTGGAAAGCTCATGGATAATGTTGCAATATATGAAACATTTACAAAGCCAAGAAATGAGACCATCAAAAAGTTGGAAAGGCAATAAATGGGCTGTTTATATTAATAGTAAAGTGTTAGCTGTGGTGGTCTGGCAAAAATCCAGTAAGGGTGATTACATTAAGTATTTGTACGTTCTTCCAACAGCTGTATTATTGTTCTTCACCTCCTGTCCTAAAACTCTTGTGTTGCTAGCACTCTTAAGAGCTGTCATGGCTCATTTCATGGGTGGGTAACTTTCAGTGATGAATGAAGTGTTAATATATTAGACATATCCAAGTCCCCCCAACATTTGGATCTGAAACTCATATGTTTCAAAATTCAAGGGTGTCCCTACTAAAAGACTTTGTTTCGATCACTTGCGAAATTTTGATGTGCGAATGAATTTCAGGCGCCCCCAAAGTATCTCAGTGTGGAGGTAGAGTTTTGATTCAGGCCCATCTGTAGTACACTGTATGTGCAGTGTGCATTTCTCTGAACCAAACTAAGCCTTGCCTATGACATTGTGTAAGACACAAAGGATCATGCATGACATGAGACTCTCTCTAGCAAAACCCAGTGCAAGATCACAAAAAGAGTTATAATTCTTAGTGCCTTTGGTGTAAATCCAAAGTAACTACTGAAGTCAGTGGTGTCGTTCTGGATACGTACTGATATCAGAAGCTGGGTGCTGGTTTGCAGATTGGCACATGCAGAAAATGTATTTTCTTCTGTTGCAGTGTGGAAGTTTCACCCTGCCTGGAACCTAGCTACTGTTTGCAGAAAACGAGGACAATGCAATTCAGCATGCATGGATCAGAGGATGTAGGACTGGCCAAGTACATGCCCAAATCTTTGTTATTACCTATCAATACATTTGCAGGTATAATTCAGTGAAGAAAATTCCAGCGTGGGGAGTGGAATGCAAATGAAAAGGTCTTACAAGAATCTCTCATTTGGTCATAAGAGCACAAGGATGGAGGAACACACTAAAAGCCACCTGAAACTGGTAATGATGCTTCTACATACAATGCTGCAGCAGTACAGAAGTTCACTGCTCAGTAAAACTCATGTGATAGCACAGTTTAAAGCCTCTCTGTCAGGGGAACACAGCAAAAGTAGTTTTACCCTTGCAGCTTACTTCTAAACAGTAGTCTTTGCTTAGCAAGTCTTCAGCGCAGCCAGGTGTTGGATAATCCTGCTGCCATCCTTGAGCATGAAGAGGCTGCACACCACTTCCCCAGTTTAATTTATGAGCTGCCCCTCTGACTTCCAGCTAAGGTTTTATATGCAGCTTAATTATAAGAACTTTTATCATTGATATGAAGAGCATGTCACGTTATTCAAAATAGCCACATTACCAACACCCCCTCTACCCCCATCTTGCTACTGCAGTCCTGTCTCCCAAGGAGAAGAGGTAGCCTGCAGATGATGGACTTGACATCAGCTAGTCTGGCTCCCAAAAACAGCTGCCTGCACAGTCTGGATTTGGATTCTCCTTCCACAAGAGGAACAGAAACTAAAGAACCAAGTTGGTGGCCTCAGAACTGGACCTGGGAGCTAGGCGTCTGTAGTACTGCACCATTTATTCGGTCTGCTGCTACTAGAGTGCAAAATTAGCTCTCAAAATATAGCTTGAATAGTGCCAGTATGGTTAGTGGCCCTGGTTAGGATCAAACTAACCTGTTTTAAAATTAAAACATCGCATAATAGCAGGTGCATAAGCTGTTTTCTTTATTCCATTTTTTGCAAGCTGAAGTCATTTCAGAAAGAGT